GTTGTGCATGATGATGATACTATTCCTTAGCAAGGGATCTTTGCAGCAAAGAACCCATCTGGGTTCTATTCTTGGAACTCCTACGAACAGCCTGGGCACTTCTGTTTTAGTGCAGCTTTGTGTCACTGGTGTTTCAGCAGCATAGAAACTCAGCAGCACAGTGATGAATCGTGCGCTCTCTATGAAGAAGGAGGGAAAAATCACTTCTGAAAATACCTTGAAGATGTGCCATTGAAAGCGATATAAGTTCAGAGTTATTAGAACTCGATTTAGTAGTCCCTGGGTTTGTTAACCAAGGGTTTGAGCATCTACACTCATTTGTAACGCCAGGTTAGGAATTGTTGAACTCTGGGTCCCAACCGGGAGTTCCAGCATCTGTGCTGCATTATGCGGGTTTGAGTCCAACCACCCATATCCCAGACTTCCTAGCTCCTTCCCAGAATGTGGCTGTTCCTGTCCTTTGTTCATGGTACAGTGTGGGAAAACTTGACAGTCCCCCAAACTTGACTGGCCAGAGCACAAAGATAGTCTGCCCATGGGACTGGGGGTACTTTAGGCGGACTCCCAGAGCATGAGTCCAGTGGGGTTTTGTCTACACTGCAGTAGGGCTTGAACCCTGGCTCCCAGCTTTATGCAGGCTCAGACTCTCCATCCCCTAAGGGTCCTGGGACCCAGGGTCTGAGTCCTCGGTTAGGGCAATTTGTGTGTAGACGGAAGGGGGGCTAGGCGGAAGCCTGAGTTCGAACCCTGGGCTTATATTGCAATGTAGACATACCTTAAGTGATGGAGTGGATTCAAGTGATAGTAATCAGAACATCTCTTAATTAATAATAGTGCCTCCTCCATTTACTAGCTTAACATTCCGTTTCAGCTACTGAGCAGCAGCAGTGGGAACTTTCAGCCAGTCCTTCTTTCTTCCCTCTCTCACAATTGAACACACTGTTAAAAATTATCCAGGAAAACTTGCAATATGTGTTCTGCATCGTGTGGTACCAGTCCCGCTAGTAGCTCAGAGACATACTGTGAAGGCTTAGAGCAGCTTGCAGATACTTTAATGTAGGGGAGAGAAGTAGAGAAGCTAGAGTCCGCAGCACATTTAGGAAACATTTACTAGGCAACCAGGAAAAAACAGCACATGCAGGAAGTAAGGAAGGATGATACTGTACTTGCTATGAACAGAATAATGTACCATGACTTTCCAGAGTTTTGCTTCTTTGGACTGCTCCATATCCATTTGATACACATAGATCAGTGAAAAGATGTTCTGATAGGATTGCACTTCTTGTTTTTATTCCCAGCTCATCTCTTCTCACTGCCCTCTTTTAGCTTCTCTCCTCGGGGGGAGCATTTACCATTCAGGAGGTCAGTTTGTCTTTTGGATGGGTTGGACAGCCCTCTCTGCAGTCAGAATCCATGGCTGGTTGTAAGTGATTTCTGTGGGATAGAATGCTATGCTATCATTTCTGAATTTATTTCTTTGCGTAACAAACTATGAGTGTCCAAAAAGAAAAGGAGTACTTGTGGCACCTTAGAGACTAACCAATTTATTTGAGCATAAGCTTTCGTGAGCTAGGTCCCAGGCAGATCAAAGTATGCAATTGCTTTCTGACATTTTGATACAACTGTGGCTGCTTATGGGAGGAAGGCTCTTCAGTTCCTATACATCATTATTAAATTACTGATTAACTGCAGCATGAAGCTCTATGCGGGTCATGATTCTTCATCATGAAGGTCTAGTAAAGCTTATTTGTAAATTACACTTACAAATGAGAATCCAGATCAGGAACTCTGTTGCACCCTCACTTTCTTACTCTAATTTTCATATATGCAAGAAACATAACAGTTGAGATGCGATATATTGTGGAGGAATTTGGGGTAAATGCTGTCAAATTTAGATTGTGTCAGTCACTGGTTAGTGTTACATTTCTTGCTATGACCATGCAGCTCCCAGTATATTTTATATATTTGTTTCCTCTTTATTTTAGGAAGCATTATATGGTTTAGAAACAGTTTAGAAGTTTTCAACTCTAAAAATTATTGCAGTAAAATATTGCTGATAAGTCATATAGGGTGAAGCTAGACTTTGATCAGATTTTTCCGTTAATGGCTCTGTAACAAAAATATGAAATCCAGATGAAATGTAAGCAGCAGATATGAACCAGGTTTTTATTTCAACTATGGCATTTTCTTCCAGTTAGAAAATTAATATTCCTCCAAAAAAGGTGCTCCCTAGAAGAAAAGATATGTTAGATCTCTGGACCGTGAGAGCACCTGAATTGCTACAGATGCCAGCAATGCAGTGGCCCTGCATCTCTGGGAAGAAGGTTATTCTATTCCACAAAAGCCAAAAAGAGGCATAGAATGGGCTCCAGAATACTGAACAGTGGAGAGAGAAGCTTGGGGGAAACAGTGCTAGTGTATATTAGCTTCCATCTATCGCAGCTCCCAAGCTAGGTTCAGCTTTTTCTTTTATTTTTACTTTTATTTTTCTTTCTTTTCCCCCCATCCCATTTGTTAACCAGAGAACAAATCCCACAGCATCATTCCCATGAGAATTCCTGCCTTATGAAAATTGGACTAGAAAGAGTCACAAAGTGTTGGGCGGGGGGGTGGAGTGACACTTATTCACAGTTTATAGAGGGACACATGCATACTATGCAGAGAGGCAGCTGGTCTAGTGTATAGGGTGCTGGACTGGAATGTGTACCAGGAGACCTGGGTTCTAGTCCTGGTTCTGCCCTTGATCTGCTATGTTACCGTGGGCTAGTCATTGGGCTCTTTCTGCCTCTGTTTCCCTTCCCTTTCTCTATTAATGGGGATTTTTTTTGGTGGAATTAGTTATTAGAAGTAGTGTGGGAGTAGCTCAATGAGTGCACTAGAGTTTATAAACCCTGCCTGGGCCTGATCTGGATCTCCATGAGGTAGGGATTACAGGCAAAGAGCCCTGTATGGGGGTGAAAAGAGAGTAGCCAGGGAGGAGGAGAAATTTGAGGGGTTAGGGATAGATCTTTTGGCTGAGGTCAAGTAAAAGGGGAAAAGGCATGCACGGAGAGCTAGGGGAGGACAGGGGCCCCCTTCTGTCAATCTAATGACTCCCCCTGAATAAATTATATTACCTCACACAGTCATGCACGCACACAGAGCCACAAACCACTTTCCTCATGCTGGGGAAATGGGAGATAGGGCATCACAAGGGGATTTGATCTAAGGACAGAGAGAAAAAGATATCTGGGGAGAGTCCTGCACATTTTGCAAGGTCCACGTAGATTCCTGTCAATGATAGTTCCAATTCCCAGGCAAAATAATTTGCAAGCTGGATTCAAGGCTATAGATATGCATTTAGTTGCTTAAAACATGATGTACGTGGAAAGGCTGGTATGATAAAATGGCATTGCAGGGTAGTTTATGTTGTCTTAATGATTTCTTGTGCAAAGCCATTGCCTTTACATTTTGCCCATAGTTACATCCAAGCTAAATTAGGGTCAGATCTGTGCCCTGTTTGTCCTACTTGAGGATCTAGGCACTAAGTAAGTGTACTGTGTATATATGTACTGGAATAACTGAGAATAGAACTAATAATTTTGTTGTTGAAGCATGAGCCAGAAGAGAGTCTAGCTCTCTTGCTCTTAAAAATCTGTGTTGGTTCTGCCATGTAAACCAGAGTAAAAAGTTGTAATAACTTTTCTGTCAATAAAGTAACTAGCTACATAGCTGAATATGGACAGAGTTGCTGAGTAAGAAGTCATTCTGATACCGTCACTTTTCAGAGCAGAATTCTGAAAAGAGGGCATTGGAAGATATCTGGGAACCCGACTGGGTTTGGGGAGGAGGCAGCCAAGCAATTTGCTGGCACCTCCTTGTGGTGGATGTCCAGTGCAGGTACTCCATAGGGAAGGGACACAGTGACCAGATAAATGGCTTGGTAAAGGATTTAAAAAGGAGATGTTAGTTAATGAAACGGAATGGGTCGGAGTGATTGGGGCTCCTATGAATGGTACGGCAGGGAGCCAAACTCCCTTTATTACAGCCCACTTTAACCCTCCTCTGAGGGGGAGGGGTGGATGGCAAGGTCCCAGCAATGGGTGGGTTGGGGGACCTGGATGAAAAAAAGGGGGGGGCTGGCAAAAGCCCTTCAGATACTTATTGAATGAACATGGAATTACCTGCACTGTACACTTTTATCTGCCGTGTAGACCCAGACATCTAATAAAAAAGTTATGGCCTGATTAAAACCATGTCAAATGTCTCCCATCCTTCTTTCGGTATCGCCGGACAATCACTTTTCGGAGCTGAATTTTACTTTGAGAAAGAAATTAGAGCTGGTTGGAAAATAGGGGTTTTTTTCCATGGACAATTTCAGTGAAAATTAAAGAAAAAGTTTGTCTAAATTTCCCATTGAAAATTCTGATTTTTTTCAAGGGAAAAAATGAATACAGAAAATAGTGTGGATTTTGGCTGAAAAAAAGATAATTTGTCAGGTGTTCAGTTCTTCAAAATACTGAAATTTTCAGCTGAAAGCAGACACTTTTCATGAAAAATTTTGTTTGGTTGAAAACCGAAATTGCCGTCACAAATATTTTGGACAAAAAAATTTCAACCAACCCTAGAAGAAGTCCATTAAAAGAATGCTTCAATTTTTGCCTCATTCAGATCATTCTGAAAACTTACTTCTGCAACCAACAAACAATGACTCTCTGAATATGTTGGTTATAAAGGATGTTGGTTTTAAAGGATTAAGAATCATAGGAGTGCACAAAGTGGCATGGGGACTCATTGGTTGATCTGTCCATGACAGTATCTTCTAGTTTGTTACAGTGGCTTTTATTCCTTGGGGACAGAAACAGATCTTTGTGTGTGTGTTTATATTTACACAAAAATACAGATAGCAAATATTTGTTAGAAGATTGTGTTTTAGTGGTATTTTGTGAATAATGTGTGTGCATGTGTATGTGTGCATGAATATTAGGAGCATTTAGATTATTTATAATTTATACTTCTAGTTAAAACAGAACCAATGAGCAGCAGTGAGATTGCTACGACTACAGCAGACGAGTCTTTAGACAATTTCTCAGGATCAGGTAAGAAATAAATAAAGATATTTTTCACTTACTGTTTTCTTCCCCTCTTACAGTCTAAATACTGTATGCAGAAGTTAAAAATAAAAGGTTTTATACAGTCTGTAGCTCGCACATTCTATCGGGCCTGATCTTACACATCTTACTCAGGCAAAAGTCAGTGGGAATTTTCCATAAGTAAGAAATGCGAGATCAACTCATTGATATCCATGGATAACTTCTCTGGGAGCTCCACTCAGGATTGGGGCAGTATTATGGCTCAAACTGTTTTTTTGTTTTGTTTTTGTTTTCTGATGGCTAGCAGATCCACATCTGCATGCTCTAGTTGTGAATGGGATGAAAGTCTAAAATCGTCCTCCTTGCTTGCTTACCGTTATGATGCCTTCTGAATTCTGGCTGTTCCCCAAAAAGTGCAGATATTTACATTTGCCATTTGTGCCAATAGGTCTCTAAAAGGTGGCGAAAGGGTGCATATTAATCCAAAATGTGTGAATTAACACTGTTATTTCTATATTACTGTTTTTGTCGTGCAGAATTTGTACCTAATTCTGAACTCATAAGTTACAATCATGATTGCAGAGAGATGCAATAGAGCTATGTTATTTGCAGTGTGTTATTTGAGAGTGTTATTTGCAGACTCATGTTGACTTTAGAGATTCACTTTAAAAATTGACCAGCTGATGTGTCTTGATTGATATAGGCCACATATGTGTGTGCTGATTATGCTAAAGATTGGCCAACAACTGTTTCTAATATATTCAAGCACATTCAGAGATCTAAACTCAAAATTTTGAACTTAAGAGAATAGGGATCGGTTGTACATTACACCCCATCCTCTTTGAGCCTCTCATACAAGGCAAAGAGGATAGATTCTGGCTGTAGCTTGCCAGCAAACAGTTCCCTCGTGGAGGGTAACTGCCAACTGGCATAAACTCACCAGAGGCAACTCCTCTACTAGACCACACCTCCACTCTCTCAGTGTAGGGTATATGTGAGGGGTATATTGGAGGTAAGATGAGGGGTGTGACAGAGCCTTGTTGTGTTGAACCTCTAGTGATATAAGGTATGTAGGTGTAAGTTCCAGCAGATCCTAGACAATCCAGATGCTGGGTCTGCACCAGATTGGGTAGATATAACTGGTTCCATGATGGCCCCTGCTGTACAAAACAGAGCTTGGATGAGGGAAATATTGAGCCCATCAAATTGACTTTAACAATCCTTGGATGCCAATACACTAACTACTCTGAAAGATACTGTCTTAATTTTACGTCTCCATTTTTCACAGCTATTTGAAAGCACAGTGTGTGAGAACACTCTTAGACTGTAAATTATTTATAGAGATTCTTGTTATATATAATATATATATATATATATATATATATGTCATATAGATTATACAGCTGGGGTGTATTTACTTTGGGCTTGACACAAACGAGATAACGATAAGGGAAAACAGGAAAAAAATTATTTGCTATCTTTCTTGGTAATGGTCACTCAGAAATAATTCTGTAGTACTGAGAACAAATCTGTATGCTTCACAGGGACAAAATCAGATTCTGCCCAGCTTAACTATTTTAGGAAATTCTATCAGATGGTACATTGCGCATGCTCTGTTTGATTCCAGATGCCTGACAATAGGCATGTAATTTTTTGGTAGGTTGATACCAGGAAAGTTATTTTATAGCGATCTCACAACCTGAAATTGACCTTTTCCCTGTGAGGGGCTAAAAAGAGATCTTGGGCGTAGAGAAGAAGTGGGACCCAAATAGTCATCAGAGAGAAGGCAGCTTTCTTCATGGAACCTCTAAAAATAATAGGGACATAGAACTGGAAGGAACTGTGACATTAAGCCCCATATTCTTCATAGAGACATTATTGTGATATGATTATAGCATAACCATGATGTATTTTGTGCAAGATAAGGCTTGTGAGATATTGCGGAAAAGGTTATGATTTACTGAATATGATTAGCCTATTTGGATGCGTGTATCATTTTGGTATCTGAAGTTAGGAATATTGTCTATGCATCAGTTACAAACGTGTTTACACCCAGGGAACACTCACTAAGCAGAATGCAATCAGTCTAGATGGTTGGCTGGGAAGGGCCATTAGGGAGAACAGTAGGTCTTAGAAGATGCTAATTTCCCACTGGGGAGCCTTCCTGAGGAGTTACAAAGAGCCTCCGAGTCATGGCTGCTGTGTCCCTACAGGGGCATGTGACCAAGTCATCTGGTACTGGACTCCATCATAGAATACTAGTGTTTTTCCACTGACCAGGCGTGGGAATCAAACTGTGAGACAAAGGGTTCCCGTCATATGCAAAAGTGATTTAAGGCAGGGGAGTGACATCATTGTGGTTCTTCACTGGTTCCCCACCCAAAGGAGGCACTTGGAAACACCTAAGAAATGAGGACTGAGCTGGGGGAGAAGAGCTGAACCCAGGCTAGAAGGATTTCTAGCTTGTGAAACCTGGGGTTTTAAGCTGCAAGCAAGTGCAGCTTGCCCTTGAGAATCTTTCCAAACTGCCTAAACCAACAATTAGAGTGAGAATTTGCTACTCATATCCAATTTCCTTAGTATATTAAGCTTAAATAGCATTTTTGTTTTATTTGCTAGGTAATCTGCTTTGATCTGTTTGCTATCCTTTATAATCACTTAACATCTATGTTTTGTAGTTAATAAACTTGTTTTTGTCTAAAACCAGTGGGTGGAAATCATAACTGGGGGCAGAAATCTGTTGAATATCTTCCACTGAGGGAGCGGGTAAATTTCATGAGCTTACGCTGTACAGTTCCCTGTGTAGCGCAACACAGTATAATTTTGGGTTTGCACTCCAGAGGGGAGTGCGTGCCTTAGGAACTGGGAGGTGCCTTAGCTGAGCCTTCCCATGCAGAACTGATCTCAGCATCTGTGTGCAGCTGTAGCTGGGTGTGTCCCTACCTGTATGTGTGCTGGAGAGGGCTTGTCACGGCAGTACAGAGTAAAGAGAGCCCAGGCTAGTGTGTCAGGCGAGTTCAGGGATACCCCAGTTCCAGGTGACACCCCACAGGGAACCCAACAGAAACCTTCTGGATCCTTGAGTCCAGTCCTCTGCTATCTTTATAATTTGTCATATAATCCCATTCATAAATTTATCCAGTCCCGTTTTAAAGCTAGTTAGATTGCTTGCCCTCTCTATTGCTATTGGGAGGCTATTCCAGAACCTCACTCCTCTGATGGTTAGAAACTTTCTTCTAATTTCCAGCCTAAGTTTACTCATAGCCAGTTTATACCCATTTGTTCTTGAGCCACCCTTGTCTTTTAGTTAGATAGCTCTTCTCCTTCCCTTATATTTATTTCTCTGATGTATTACATCTCCTTTCAGCATTCGTTTTGCTAGACTAAACAAGACAAGATCTTTTAGTATCCTCTTGTAAGACAGGCTCTCCAGTCTCCTAATCATCCTAGTACCCTTTCTCTACACGTGTCTCAGTTTGAATTCCTTTCTTGAGTATTGTATGCAGTATTCCAGATCAGGTCTTACCAGTGCCTTGTACAATGGCATTAATATATCCCTACCTCTAACAGAAATACCTTGCCTGATGCCATTTAGGATCACATTTGCCTTTTTCATGGCAACATCACATTTGTAGTACATAGTCATCCTGTGATTAGCTAATATGCTCCCAAAGTGTATGGTCTTTCACTTTATACTATAATGATGAGCAGAAGGCCCAGCATACAATGCATAGCTGACCTCCTTTCTCTTTAGTGCCCTGAAAGGTCACAAAGAATTCAATCTAGTTAAAGATCTTATATGAATTTTAAATTTCTGTGTTAACAGGGATTGATTTTTGGGGTTATAAATAGCTACTTGGAGCTCTTAATCTGAGCTTCAGAAAAAAAACACCTGTTAGGTTAATTTCTTGATCTTACACACTTAACAGTTTTTCATTAAGACAATATGCTATTTCATTATGACATCTTTCTGAAATACTGAAAGTTATCAAAGTCTGAAAATGGATTAGAAATAAGTAGATAGTGCAAGGAAAGAAGCTGAAAGTGGAAGATGTAGTATAGCCTTTGTACTACAGAATTATTTTAAAAAGAGACCCATGCTATGAAGTTACCTGTATGTTTTCAATAGGAAACGTACTTAGAATTTTGTTATGAAATACAGATCTTTGAATACAAAAAGTGGAAACCTGGACAAATTGCTAAAATGGAGTACAAAAGAATAGCCAAAAGTATGGAGGGACAATATGAGTTACACCTAGCAAGGGACGTAAAAGGCGATAAGAAGTTATATAAACACATTAGAAACAAGAAAAAGACAAACGAAAGTGTGGGTCTTCTACTTAGTGGGGAAGCAGAGCTAATAATGGGTGACATCAAGAAGGCTTAGGTGTTTAATGCCTGGTTTGCTTTGGTCTTCACTAAAAGGTGAATTGTGATCACATACTTGACACAATTAATATTAACAAGGGGGGAGGAACAAAAGCCAAAATAGGGAGAGAACAGGTTATAGAGTAGTTAGATATATTCAGGTGAGTAGGGCCTGATGAAATTCATTCTAGGGTATATAAGGAATCAGCTAAAGAATTCTCAGAACTGTTGGTGATTATCTTTGAGAACTCCTGGAGGACATGTGAAGTCTGAGAGGGCTGGAGAAGGGCACACAAAGTGCCTATATTTAAAAGGGGGAAAATGAGGACTAGAAGAATTATAGACCAGTCAGTCCAACTTTGATACTTCAAACAAATTTCAAACAAATTATTAAACAATCAATTTGTAAGCATTTAGAGAATAATAAAGTTATAATAGCTAACCTGTATGTGTCAAGAGCAAATCATGCCTTACCCCAAGTATCCTTACCTTGGTATCCTGCTGTCGGTTGAATTGTCTCGTTAGACTAACCTCACACTTGGTAAGACAACTCGCATTTTTTCATGTATTTATACCTGCTCCTGTAGTTTCCACTCCATGCATCTGATGAAGTGGGTTCTAGCCCACGAAAGCTTATGCCCAAATAAATTTGTTAGTCTCCAAGGTGCCACAAGGACTCCTCGTTGTTTTTGCTGATACAGACTAACACGGCTACCACTCTGAAACCTATGTGGAAGAGTTACACAAACTGGGTTTACTTAGTCTTGAGACAAATAGACTGAGGGAAATAATGGGCTTAATCCACAGTAAGAAAAATTTAGATTGGATATTAGGAGGAACTTTCTACTATAATGGTAGTTAAGGTCTGGAATGGGCTTTCAAGGTTGTGGAATCCCCCTCATTAGAGGATTTTAAGAACAGATTAAGCAAACACCTGTCAGGGATGGTCTAGGTCAGTGGCTCTCAACCTTTCCAGACTGCTGTATCCCTTTCAGGAATCTGGTTGATCTCGGTACCCCAAGTTTCACCTCACTTAAAAACTACTTGCTTACAAAATCAGACCTAAAAATACAGAAGTGTCACAGCACACTATTACTGAAAAATTGCTTATTCTCATTTTTACCATATAATTACGAAATAAATAAATTGAAATATAAATATTGTACTTACATTTCAGTGTATAGTATATAGAGCAGTATAAACAAGTTATTGTCTGTATGCAAAATTTTTAGTTTGTACTGATTTCACTAATGCTTTTTATGTAGCCAGTTGTGAAACTAGGCAAGTATCTAGAGGCAAATATCTAGATGAGTTGATGTACCCCCTGGAAGACCTCTGCGTACTCCTAGGGGTACATGTACCCCTGGTTGAGAACTACTGATTTAGGTTTACTTGGTCCTGCCTCAGTGCAGGGGGCTGGACTAAATGACCTCTTAAGATCCCTTCCAGCCCTACATTTCTATGAATCTAATATTCTAAACATTAATAAAACATTGTGCTGGAGTATCGTAAACCTTTGAAAATATGGAAGGAAATGATTTCCAGTGTGCAATCATTTGAGAAAATTTGTTTCCCTTGAAAATGTTGTCTGACTGCAAGCAAAAATAAATTATTGCTCTGGAGTTGTACAAAGAAGGGCAATTTAATCAAGCTTTTAATTTTAATATTGAGCATTCCTATACTGGCACCTGTCCCTGTTAAGTGAGCTGTAGCTCACGAAAGCTTATGCTCAAATAAATTTGTTAGTCTCTAAGGTGCCACAAGTACTCCTTTTCTTTTTGCGAATACAGACTAACACGGCTGCTACTCTGAAACCTATCCCTATTAAAACATTACTTTGTAGGTCAGAATATTTATGGCATTTGGACTTATTTAAAACCTTGTTAAAATTCTGAAATTCTGTTAGCAAAAAGTAATACTTAGTTCAGATGTGTGTGTTTACATTTTAATGTGCTTTCCTTTCTCCTTGGGGCAGTAATTGGAAGCAGTGGCTTCAGCCCAAGACAAACTCATCAGTTCTCCCCACCACAGATTTATCCTTCCAAGTAAGTTATCTTTTCCAGATAATAATAACTGAAATAAATAAACAGGTTTTAGCCTCATTTAGAATCATCATTGGGTTCTTCTGTTATCAGAGTTTAACCCAAAGCTTGTTCTTGAGAAAGTATGTGATTTTATTTTATTTTAGCTGTTTGTATTTTAAAGATTTTTTAAGAACTTCTGTTCTCTCATGCAGTCTATGACCATGTGCTAATCAAGCTAATATAATAAGGCTGTCAGTTAACACAAGTACTCATATATCTCTGTCTAATACAAATTCTATTTTCTGTCATTTATAATCAATAGCAGATCATACCCACATATTCTTCCTACCCCTTCCTCACAAACTATGGCTGCATATGGGCAGACGCAGTTTACAACAGGAATGCAGCAAGCTACAGCTTATGCCACATACCCACAGCCAGGCCAGCCCTATGGAATCCCTTCATATGGTGAGTAAGAGTCAGTATCAATGTTATTTAATTCTGGGGTAAACATTTTTACCCAGAAAAGCTGTATGACCCAGAGACACATATTTTCTCTGCGTTTAATATGACAACTGTTCATGTGCATGTTTGTAGTCAAAAACCTACATTTCGGTGAAATGGGGCAAGCTTAGTATATGTATTTACTGGAGTCTAATTAAGAATGTACCTGACAAATGTGACTTATACAAATCCATAACAACTCTCATAACCTCCTGTGGAATAGTTGCTTTTACCTTTTATTTCTGTTTTTTTAATGCTACCTTTAATAGAAACCATGGAAAAGAAGCATTCATCAAATGTTTTGTTAGAAATGGACAAAGGGGAAATGTAAAATTTAAAGAGCTAGTACTGCTCTCTCTTACGCCTGTTGACTTCAGTAAGAATTGTGCAATCCAAGTGCATACAAGGGTAAATTGATAAATACAGGGCTGATCCTCAACTGGTGTAAACCAATCAAGCTCTTCTGATTTATATCGGCTGAGGATCTGACTCAAGAAGTCTACTTTTACGTAGTTTTGGAAATCTGCCGTGGTGGAAATTGAAGTAAATGCCATTAAGGCTCTAAAATGCTGACAATATGATGATATATAATCCAATTACATTTTTCACATTGTCCCTATATGTATTGCGTATATTGATCTATATTATAAAATAAATAGCTATAAACATAGTTCATATATTTCAACTCTTTTCTGCATATTTTAAACATCTAAAACATTTTATTTGAATATTTAAAATATATTTTCAGTGATGGTAATGTATTTTTCTTACGTATATCGTAAATGTATGTTTTTCTTGTTTGAGGCTTCTATTGGTCCTTGGCTATCTATGGTGGGTTGGGCAGCCCAGACAGTGACTTATCTTGTTCCCTTCGTCTTTCTGTGTGAAATCCTGGACCCATTAAAGTCCGTGGTAAAACTTCCATTGACTTCAGTGGGGCCTGGATTTCACCCTCTCAGTTTAGCTGGCTCCCTGTCACCCGTGCTCTGTATGTGAGTTGCTCTATTTGGACTCTGCTTGCTGGTTTGGCTAGCATGCTTATCTAGTCTCTTGCTTTTTTTTCTCCCCCTGCCCCATCCATCCACTGTGCCGAAGACTTTGGTCAGTTTCGTCTTGCACATTTTGCATTACAGAACTCGTTTTTACAACTGAAAAACTGGCTAAGTGATACGGCTTATTGCATTTTTTGTTTTCCTACATGTCCACCTCAGGGCTCAGCCAAGGTTCTTTTAGCTATGTATCTTGTTGTTTAACAGTAGCATTAAAAAGCAAACATACTGTGGGAGTTGACATAAGAGTATTTCCTTGTGTACAGATACATTTAATTACATCTTTAGGCCCCAGTCGTGCAGTCTGTGCTCATGTGAGCAGTCAGACTGAAGGCAATGGGACTGTTCATCTGCACAAAGCAAGCAGGATGGGCACCATATTAGAGTCAAAATTCTCCTCCCAGGTCTGCAGGTGAATCCCATTTTCTGCATCATGTACTTTGTCTTTCTCTCTTTCCATGCCTACGGGTTCCAACACTTGTGGAATGAGCAAAATAGCAGCGTTAGATATGTCCTACTCATCTGATAGAGAAAATTTGCTTTTTAGGTCTCTCTCTCTCTCTCTTTTAAGTCTGGGGGCAGGTCTACACTTAAAACTCTGCAACGGTGCAGCAGCACTTTGTGAAGATGCTACTGTGCTGACAGGAGAGCATCTCCCATTGGCTTAGTTAATCACTTCCAGGAGAGGCGGTAACTACATTGATGGGAGAAGCCCTTGGGGATTTTTCACACCCCTGAACGGTGTATTTATGTAAGTTTATAATATAGACTTGGCATGGGACTTACTGAAAATGCACTTTTCAAAATTTGAAAGGCCATGTTCTCTAAAATCTAGTTGGGATTTATTAATTTTTATGTCACTTTAAATTGAGGTTGAAAATTAAAATCCCAGCCCTTTCTCAGCTTCCTTGATTGAGGCAGTTATTGGGAAGGTGCTGCTGTGAAGGCACAGGGAGCACCACTCAGAGCAGTACTTAAGTATCTGCCAGGAAGAGGCCCAGTCTCTCTATTTCTCACCTCCTGCATCTCTACCATGCTGAACTCATGGAAGCAGGAAGTGGGGTGGAAGGAAATACCACTGACAAGTAGTTCCTAGGGAGCTGCTGGCTCTGGTACATCTGCAAAGCTACTGAGGAAGCTGGAGAAGTGTAGCTATTCATTTCCTGAGGCACTCCACTGCTGTCTGCCTGTGTGTTTTCTTAGTGGCATATTGTAAAGGCTTCATTTACCAGCTGCTTCTCCCCCTGGATCCTGATAGTACCTTCATGGTCTCTCCCTGTTACCTCTCTTTGCATGTCTGGACTAGTGAAGAGAAAAGGAGAGGGTAAAGGAGCATGAAGAGCTGGTAAGTGAAGCCACTGGAGGAAAGCAGACAAGGAGTTGTGGGGTGTCAGGAGGTGAAAAGCTCCTCCGCCTGCTTCTTAGAAATTTGCAGAAGGGCCAGAACTGGAAGCTGTCAGTGGCACATTATCTTCCAGTTGGCATCCACCTCCAGCTTCCTACCCGCTACGTCCCTTGTTTGCCTCATGTTGGAAGGAGGCATGAACTAGGAGAAATGCTCTCTGCACACACTCAAAGGCTGGGAGTTGAAGCAGGAGCTAAAATTTCTTAGCTTGATCTCAGTTTAAACTAATTAAAAAAAATTCACATGAGCGTTTCAAGGGTCTTTCAAATTATGAAAAATTAGGATAACGTTCCTGGGAATTATTGATACCAACACTATAAAGTGGAAGTTTCACAGTGAGCCCATATGTCAGATTCATCATTATGATTTAATTGCAGGGTGAAATATAAGCGGAAAGGGAACAGCAAGGGGAACCAACCCTTATTTAAACACAACTTACTTTGGCAGTTATGCAGAAGGAATTAGAAAAAAGTGAAGGGCCATAATTACAAAATGGATATCTCAGGCGCGCATGAAAAATATGCAGTCATGCATATTGGACTGTTTGGGGCATATAACTGCATATTGTACAAGTGTAATGACTTTTTTGCACCTCCCTCCTTCATACATCATAGGACTTGAATTTTTAAGACTTGAACCAAAAGGTAAATGGATTTATAGTTTATCATTTACAAAAGTCTACTACTCATTCACACTTTATGATTCACCCCAAATAATGGTGACCTCTGAGTGTAGAGGTAATCACAGACTGCTGCAATAAGATCTGAGACAAGTCTTACATTACTCATATTACTACTATATTGCTAAGACTATTATTTTTGTAAAATATGCATTATGAAATATCTCTAATAGCTAAAATTAAACTCCAGTGTCCAAATAATGTACTTGTTGTGATGTCTGTTCCTGATATTTATTGTTTATTCATTTAGGTCTTGATCCAAAGCCCATTGAAGTCAGTGCAAGTCTTTCCATTTCAGTAGGCATTGGATCAGGCTGAGTTTTGTTAGAGCATAATTTTTAATGGATTTGCCTGTCATTAGTACAGATTAATGAAGCTTTGCTGTATCCTCCCTGTTTGAGAGCTCCTCTCTAAGGCATATTTAGCATCCTGTATGTCTATTTTGGTCATTGGTTAAAAACCGTATATGTTTTACAATACATACCATTTTTGAAAAGGCATATTATGTGCTAATGGACCTAATTTAATCACTTTTAAAGAGGATTTTCTTGTTATAATACTGTAAAAGCCTCTTTGGAGCTGTGTAAGAAAAAAGTAGGATTGTTGATCCTTTATCCATAAATATTGCACAATGCAAATCTCAATTGTTATGTTATGAAAAAGAGTGGGTTATGTTACACTTCATTGAAACTATATGAAACTGGTGTTCTGCCATCTATGAAATTCGTGAACTTATGGAAATGTTAGCTTCTGACTGAGTTGGCAGGAAATGAGTAAAAAATTATGCAACTTTCCGGAAAGGGCAACTTGCCATATATTCATTTCTCTTGCAACTCTTGATTTTTAAAAACCACAGTTTTGAGCTGAAACTGTCCCTGGTGAACTTACGTTTACATGCAGCTTCTCCCTTATCTCTACTGCACATACCACTAGCATCATTACAAAAATGCATGCAGTGATTACTAACTAGGTGTATGTTTAAAGTACTGCTAGTTATGTGATTTTATTGTCTGTCGGTGTTTGAATATGAACAAATAGATTTGCTATCACTAACTGATTTAGGTGCATTGTGGGCAGGCATCAAGACAGAAGGTGGATTGTCACAATCACAGTCTCCTGGACAGACAGGATTTCTAAGCTATGGGACAAGCTTTAGCACGCCTCAGCCAGGACAGGCACCATATAGCTACCAAATGCAAGGTCTGTATACATATGTATTACCATTTATAGTATATTTCATTGCTCTATTCATTTTTCCATTTAGAATAAAACAAATATCAGTTTAGGGTAGGATTTTCAAAAGTGTTCAGCATTGGCCTAACTCCATTCTCATTGCTGTCAGTGATAAAAGTCCCACTGACTTTAATAGGAGTAGAGTTAGGCTAACCCTCGGTGCTTTTGAAAATTCCACCTTTAATGATTAAACTAGCATTTTAATGTAAATATTCTGTTCTTATTCCAACAAATAATTTTGTCTTCATAAATAGTGAACTACTGTGCTTCAGAGCATAGTACTGGAAAAAATTGGCATGATTATGAATATAGGAAGTGACCAGATTTAACTTAACACCTGAGTCTGTTTTCTCTATCTGTAAAACAGGTAAATATTTTTTGTCCCTTTCAGAGCCTTTGTCAGAGTTAATTAACATTTTTAGAGTATTTTGAAGGTGTAGAGCTTTGTAAGTGGTAGCTAATATTGTCAATTACATTTTTTTCTAGATGCACTTATTTGTTTCTTTTAAATATGACATTAAAATATATTTTTTCTGTGTTATAAATGTAGCATTCATATTCCTACCTCTGTTGTTCACTGACTGGGTGTGAATAGTTCTGGAATCTGACCATCCATCTAGGCCTCTGTTTGATAAGTGGCCTCTCATTTTGGGTGCCCAACTTGGGATATCTTTGACCTGATTTTCAGAGATGCAGAGTACATGCTTCTCTAGTTGCAGTTAGTGGGAGTTGTCGGGGATAAACATCTCTGAAAAGAAGCGGTAGGGTGTCTCAGGCACTCAGAATTGAAGATTGTTTCTGAAAATGTTGGCACCAGTTTTTATGATACCTGTTGACAGTTTCTAGATGTAATTAACTCTCTATCAGATGTTCTGAAGCAGACATGCATTACTGGATTAACTAGACAAGGCTTCACTTATGTTTGACGGCTTTTAGAAAGTACTGATCCAACCCTTAGTTCAGATACAGCAGAGCAACTGCAGTATTGAAAAGGTAATCATCTGACACATAGCTTCTTAAATATAGATCTAGGTACGCTGCATCCCAGCAGGCAGGAGACAAGACAGTACCAAATAAGTATGTTTACTTTTATCTATTTGGTAATTAAAAGTTTTCTATTCTGAATGGGAATAATCATAACCAGGTTATTGGTTTCACTGTCTGCTGATAGTCACATCATCAGAATTGAAGGAAACTAACTTACTGGAGTAAGAGCTCAAAATACTTATCAGTGATTATACAAGCAACTCCCAGAAGGCAGATTCTATCAAGAAATCTTATAATCCATTCTCACTAGGAAATACTTGTGCTGAAGAGCATGTTGTTGTTGTTAACAATTTGTATTTCAGTAGCGCCTTGGTGCCACAGTCATGCATCAGGACCTTTTTGTGCCAGGCAGTGTATCAATACCTAACAAAAAGACAAGTTTAGGGCCAGATTTTTATAGGTATTTAGGCCTCTAATACCCACAGAAGCTATATATATAGGTACATCTAAAAATTAGGTGTTTAGAGTCTAAGATGAGATAAAACAGGCTGGGGGAAAACAATGAGATGATGCTAGTTAGCATGATAAACAGTGGGTGCAGCACACCAGCTACCTAACCATCATTGAGTTTTTTGTAGGCATCATGGCAGAGGAAAACTTTAAGGAGGGATTTGAGGGAGGGCAATAAGGGTGGTTTTGCAGCTGTTTATGGGAAACCCCATGGGAGAAAGTGAGAAGGTACTTGTTGGAAAATTTACAAATGGGTGATGGAAACTGGCATCATTGGCAGAGCGCAGGCAAGAGTCAACATTGCAGTAGTGTATGAGAGATGATAGCTAGAGTGGGCATAGGCTCTGAAAGACCTTGAAAGTCATGCAGTGAATAGGGAGCCAGTAGAAGGATGAAAAGAAGGTGATGACATGTTTGAAGTGATCTATATGGATAAAGAAGAAAGGCCAGATCCTGAAGAAATTATCTAAGAAACAGCAGCAAGATTTAAAAACTGCCTGGATGTAAAGATCTAGAAAGCTGGATCAAAGACCAGGCCCAGATTATGAGGGTGAGTGACAGGGAGGATCATGGTAGTGTCCAGGGTGACTCAGAGAAATTTGTGCTGGAAATGGCCCACCTGTTGATCACTTTAGATAAGCTATTACCAGCAGGACAGTGGGGTGGGAGGAGGTATTGTTTCATATTCTCTGTGTGTATATAAAGTCTGCTGCAGTTTCCACGGTATACATCTGATGAAGTGAGCTGTAGCTCACGAAAGCTCATGCTCAAATAAATTGGTTAGTCTCTAAAGTGCCACAAGAACTCCTTTTCTTTTTGCGAATACAGACTAACACGGCTGTTCCTCTGAAATCAGAGAAGAGAGGGTTTGAAGGAAAAGTTTAAAAGTTCTGTTTTGGCATGGTTAAACTTAAGATGATGGCTAGACATCCACAAGGAGATGTCAGAGAGACAGGCCATATTTTTATTTTGACCAGAAGGAGAAAAGTCAAGAGTGCAGAGAGCAAACTATAAGTCATCAGTTAAATCATGCTTGAATGAAATGACCCAGAAAGCAGGTAGAGAGGGAGAAGAGGAGGATGCCAAGATTGGAGCCCTGTGGGATACCTACAGAAAGTTGGGGTGGAGATGACAGTCATCATCCAAATGAAATGCTGGAGTAGTTTTTAGGGAGGTAGAGGAAAACCACAACCTTTCTAGTCTTTTTGTTCTTACAGTTAGGACATGTCAAAATGAACCCTTAGTTCATGATAGGCTGGGGTGTAAACCTACCTTACTAGCCCAGCATGCACAAAGCATTTGTATGGACCTTACTACCATGCACTAATGGTTCCTTAATATGCTTTGGTTTACCCCACTTTGAAAGCAGAGTAGATAAAAGTACACTAAGAATTGTTAGTGCATGTCAGCAGGACCCATGTAGACACTTAGTGTAGCAGGCTTGTGTTAGGTAGAGTTACACCCCAATTTGTTGCAAACTAAATGTTTATCTGGACAAACCCGTCGCAAGAATAATATTTTACAGGATTTTTCTACACCATGTTTTCCTTGCCATTATCTTTTTAATGTGTCTTTTAATTGGGTTAATTCTATATTTTTAAAAACTTGGTACTAGCTTAATTTTGGGGGATATAACTGCATTGGGGGGGGGGGGTGTAGTTAAGTGGTAGAGTGCATGCAGGAGTAGAGTGATTTTTTTTACTTCTGTATTTGGTACTGACATGACTGCTGCTGGAATAGTGTGTCCTGTTCTGGTATCCACAATTCAAGAAGGATATTGATAGATCGGAGGGTTCAGAGAAGAACCACAAGAATGATTAAAAGATTCGAAAAGATGCCTTATAGTAATAAACACAAAGAGCTCAATCTCTGTATCTTAGCAAAGAGAAGGTTAAGGAGTGACTTGATTACAATCTCTAAGTACTACACAGGGAACAGATATTTCATAATGGGTTGGAGTCAAGCAGGCATAGGTATAACAGGATCCTACGGCTGGAAGTTGAAGCTAGACAAACTCAGACTGGGAAAAAGGTGTACAATTTTAACAATGAGGATAATTAACCACTGGAACAATTTACAAAGGATCATGGTGAATTCACCATCACTGGCAATTTTTAAATCAAGATTGGATGGTTTTTTAAAAAAAATTTCCCACAGGAATCATTTTTGGGAATTTGGATGGCCTGTGCTACACAGGAGGCCAGACTAGATGATCACAATGATCCCTTCTGGTCTTGGAGTCTCTGAATCTATGAATTTTTCATTCGGACTTGATAGGTGCTAGGAATAAACAGGAATGTTTGTTTCCCCTTCACAATTTTAGTTCTGGAAATTCAACAGTTTCAAGGTTTAAATTATTCTTCAAGGTTGGAATTAAGCTTCCCCACCCAAAACCACAGTCATTGTTATTTGTTCAGAGACCTCCAGAGAGGGAATGGATTTGTTCCCCTTCCCCCCTGTATGAATGCATGGGCAGGCTGCAGGTTCTCAATGCAGCCTTTCCATGGAGGCTGAAATAGCAGCTGCTACTGCTCCTCATCTCCTTAGTGTGGTTTCTGAACCACTGGGTCAAAATTATAGACCCCTTGGTCTGCTCCATTAACAACCCTCCAGGGGGCTGGTGCCTCTGGAGGCATCTCTATCTGTTGCAGGGAGGGCTGCAAGATAACCCTGAACCACTGGTGTGCCTGCACTGCCAGCATACCGCCTCCTCCCCCCCTTTGTTTCTGGTTTACCACCCGCACCTGCAGCACACACATTGTGTGGAGGCCACTATGCTAGCCCTTCCCATTAGGAGTAAATGTAGATCTGCCGTAGTGCATGTGCAGGCAATTACACAATACCTTGCCTGACCATACTAAAATTCTGGCATGGTGATTAGCTGAACAATAGCTAAAGGAAAAGCTGCCAACTTTGAAAATCATGAGGCATATGGCTGTGTGAGTATCCACACAGACATTATCTTGGCACTTGGGCTTCTGTTTGTTTTGAATTTTTCATCTTTACATTCAGAGGGTGGGGGAATTATTTCTTCCTAACTACTATGCTTCTCACTCCCCTTTTGGTAAGTGTTCTGAAGTATGATCCTTGAGTTCTTGACTAAAGGACCACTTGACTAAGGCTGTAGCCCTGAGCCCATAGTTTCTGAACTGATGGTACATGTGGGGAATGCTCAGTCAGATTAAATGGAGCAGGGAGAAGGCTGGGGGTGGTGGGGTTAGAAAAGTGTAAGGGAATCAAAAGCAGAGAGAAGGACCACACTTGCAGCTGTGCAGTTCTGTTTAAAAATCAAAGAAATATAAGCCCTTGTCTATATTTAATTGTGTATATTACTTTGTATCAATGTATCATTCAGCTGTAGTGATGTTAAATTTATGAGTGCTGCTATTCTTTTAGTTACACAGGTTGTTATGATTCAGACTATACTAACCAGTGGGTTTGGGAATTCATCCATAAAAAAGTAAATGTTAAGGTATTTAGTTATTATTATGGAGTTTAAAAATATTGTGCTGGATGGCCAAGCAGTTACTAGGAAGAATAGGGAGAGTTTGCCAAGGATTTTTAAACAGCATAAGGAAGAGAAAGAAACCTTGGGTTTAAATAGCCCATCTGGCCTTCATAGTGCAGCCCTCCAGGGAAAAGCCCAACTTCTGCCACATATATTGTGCCCTGATGATAGACATAGCCCATGGCAAGGAGGCTGATCAAGGAAAGCAAATGGACTTCTGTAGAAAATGCACAGGGGAGGACAGCATCCTGCCTGTTGTAGAAGTACTGGAGAAAAGTTCTACACATGGGAGCTGCATACTAGTCCCAGCAGGTTCCAGCATTCTTCATATGCTGACTGAGATTCCTCGCTTTAATGTGGGTCCTTGTTCTTTGCAAACTAGACCTTTGACCTGCAATTTACAGCTTTTATCACATTAGAAGTCCTGTAGTTGGCCAGTTTGTTTCAGTAAGCATATATATTTCATAAATATTCACAGTTCTTTGTTCATCTAATACAGGAACAGTATGCTCTGTGCCATGACACACAGCTGATTAAAAAATGTGGCAAAAATTGAAGTATTTTAAAAACAACTTTAGGCCAGTAGCCCTGGGTGGCCCACACAGCAGTTTTCTGAGAAACCTGTTTCATGTTTGTTACGGTCTGTGCGGCCCCCACCCCTCCTCCATAGGAGCCAATGCTGACCATAAGATGAAAGAGATTTTTTTTTTTTATTTTTTTTTTTTGGTGATATGTTGACCAGGGTGCAATTACTTTTTTCTTTTGCTCTTGTAAATTATCTGCCAACACACATTGTGAAAAGAGAATGCAGTAACTAAAGAAGAACTTTTAAAATATGAGAGGCCTTGTACTTCTTTTTTAGAATAATTCAAATGACAAACCTATAATGCTTGTACATGTGTTTCTGCATCAGTGAATTTAAAAAAAAAAACTTATTTCCCCTAACTGTGGCATTCAAGGAAGTAAAAAAAGCTTGAAGACTTTTGCATTTTAAAAGATTCTGCATCTTCATTCTGGCTTATGAAAAAGTAAAAAAAATAGTGTTGATCCTCAACTTTAAATTAAATTTAAATTCTTGTATTCTTTCATGAGTAGTATTTCTCTGAGGATGCAAACTCCTCTGCTGAAGCACTCTGATTTAGCTCACAGGTTTATGAGCATCTATCAACCACTGTGCAGCCCCAGCAGTAATAGTGGAAAGTAATAAAGATTTATAGGAAAAAATCTAAATGTTTCTTATGGTTAGCGTCTCTTGCATTACATTCAGATTGTATTTTTACTCAGAACGCAGTTGGACATCCCCCACACCCACTGCGTACAAGGTCTTCGGTGGCCATGGAGTGTGCACGTTTTCATTAACTTTCACAATTGAATTGTTTTAATATTTTTGCCCCATGATTTTTGGGATGTACGTTGTTCCTGACATGGCTTATTTAAAAAAAAAGAAAAGAAAAAAGGAAGAGCAAGCACCCAGACCTGCACTCCTTGCAATTAATGTACATTTAGATGCGAAGCCTGGAATTATTTCAGAGTATGTTTTTATTTTTTTATCTCATCATTATCTTTTTAACCCAAACCTTCAACAGCATCAGAGGCATCTAACTTGTTAGGTTTCTCTGTTGTTAAATCACAGGATTATGTCAGTGTCTCAGTCAGTTGCACCACAAACTGTCTCACCAGTTTGGAGGTTACTATGATCTTGACCCATTTCAGCCAATAATGTAATGTGTTGCAGTGCCAGGGAGCAATGAATTTATACATCTCACTTTCTATCTGTTTTCATTTTTCAGCTTATCTTCTTATCACTTATTTGCTTGCCCTAGGTTCTTCTCCCTAGATTGCAGCATGTCTTTGTTTACATAGTGTTTCAAAACTGATTTGAAGGAGGGGAGGCTATAAACAAATAATGCAGGTTAATGTGCAGCTTTTCTGCATTCTCATTTACTCCCTCTCAGCACAACTTCAGCAGTTCTGCCATATAGCAGGCTTTCTGCAGCCTCTATAATTTCTCCCTATGTATCCATATGTCTCACCTCTCAGCAGTGTTGCTGCTGGGTGCATAACCAGTGAAGGCAATCCATTTGGAATGGGGTTGCTGCCCTTTTAGAGCCACGGCTCCTCAGATTAGACATTCAACATCTGTCTGTTTGGTGGCTAGTGGTGAGGGAGTAGTTTGGTCTCTGTGTTCATTCAGTCTTTGGCATCTATGTTGATAGTCCATGAATTTATTTTTCGTGGTGTTATGGCCAATAACCTCTTTTTAAAAAGTTTACCGCCCAAGGCTATCTGTGATCAATTAGTGAACCATAATGACTTTCACAACTGGACAAGCTTGTAAACTGCTTAGAGCAGGGACTGAGTCTTCTTCTGTGTTTGTAAGGCACTGAGAACAATGTCAGTTCTCAATCAGTGACAACGTTTGGCCTCATTCTGTGATGTGCTAAGGACCCACAACTCCTATGGACCTCAGTGGGATTTGTACGTGCACAGCACCTTTCAGAATCAAGCTTATGGATACTGCAATATTATTTTTAAAAGAACTTTAAAAGCTTACTACTTTAAGTAAGACCATAACTGGATCGGACCAATTGTCCATATACCTCAGTATTTTGTCTCCCACAGTGACCGGTGCCAGAACTTCAGGGGCAGTGTACAGAACAGGGCAATTGGACTGATCTACCCCTGTCTTCCCCTCCCTGCTTCTGGAAGTCAGAGGTTGAGGGTGATGCCAGGCAGTATCCCTGACCATCTTGACTAGTAGTCATCCATGGACCTATCCTCCAAGAACTTAACGAGTTCTTTCTTTAACCCTGTTATACTTTTGGCCATCACAATATCCCATGGCAATGAATTCCGTAGGTTAATTGTGCATTGTGTGAACAAGTATTTCCTCCTGTCTGTATTAGAAACCATCTGCCTATTAATTTAGTCAGGTGCCACCTGGTTTTGGTATTGTGGAGAGGGTAAATAACCCTTCTGTATTCACGCTTTCCACAGTATTCATGATTCATGACCTCTACCATGTCCCCCCTTAATTGCCTCTTTTCTAAACTGAACAGCCCTAGTCTTTTTAGTCTCTCCTTCTTTGGAATCCATTCCATATTCTTGATCATGTTTGTTGCTCTTCTCTGAACTTTTTCCAGTTCCATTATATCCTTTTTTTGAGATTGGACAACAAGAACTGGACACAGTAATCAAGGTGTGAGCATATCATGGATTTATATAGTGGCATTATGATATTTTCTGTCTTTTTTTTTTTATCCCTTTCCTGATAGTTCCTAACATACTGGTAGCCTTTTTGACTCCTGATGCAGATTGTGGTGAAGTTTTCAGACAACTATCCACAGTGATTCCAAGGTCGCTTTCTTGAGTGGTAGTAAATAATTTAAAACTCGTCATTGTATGTGTGTAGTTGGGATTATTTTTTCCAATGTGCATTACTTTGCACTTGTCAGTGTTTAGTACATTAAGTCTGACAGGCATTATATAAAACCAAACCAAAGATATTTTTAAATTTGATCCCATTCCATTCTGTGAATTACAGGAGTTCCATCAGACTCATTTTTCCTCTTACACAATAACTACATAATGAAGTATAGGAGTCAGAAATAATGAGTTATCACTTTACCTGTTTCTGCATGTTTAGTATTGATGACAATCAAAGTGGTCAACATATGGGAAGTATTACAAGTTTGCTGTGGTGGAGTTATTTTCAGATAGAGTGTTTTAGTAATTAACATCATCTTTCATTTCATTTCAGGGAGCAGCTTTACAACATCATCAGGAATATATACAGGAAATAATTCACTCACAAACTCTACTGGATTTAATAGTTCACAGCAGGTAAATTTCTAAATAAAATTAAATGAAAGTTTGACAAAACTGTATTTCAAACTAGCAAGTCACACAATGCTTTCCCCTTCAAAAATATTGAGCTTGGTAGATTTTGCTAAGAAAAAGATACTGTCATTTCAAGGGAATTTTTTTCCTCCTTTTTATCTCATAAAAGAACTCGCTGCATGGTTATTTTTCACATTTGTTTACATAACTGCAATAATATATCTAATAATATTCTGTTTTTGAAAAAATTTACTAGAAGTATGTGAAATTTAGGTTTACTTATACAATCTCATGTTTGTCAGCTCTACTGTGCACAGTCCAGTGAAGACAGTGGAACTCAGACATGTGTTTTTACTTATATTTTGGAATGTATACTAAAAAGTAGCAAAACCTTGAAAGGAAACTCTGATGTTGCTTTTTGTCTGGTAGGAATATCCATCTTATCCTAGTTTTGGCCAGGGTCAATATGCACAGTATTATAATAGTTCACCCTACCCGTCACATTATATGACAAGCAGCAACACCAGCCCAACACCACCTTCCACTAATGCAACATACCAGCTTCAAGAACCACCATCTGGCGTCACCAGTCAAGCAGTTACAGATCCTGCAGCAGGTAATTACATAGATTTTATTATCCCTGTGGGCCACATTTCTGTTAGTTGAAAGGTTTGGGGGTTTGTTTTGGTTTTGGTTTGTTTTTTTTTGTTTTGGGGGGCTTTTTTAGGGTTTTTTTTTTCAAAATTTTAATGTATGGTAACTCTTGCACAGATTTTGATAGAGCAATGGCTCAGAAAATGTAAGATGAATATTTAAATAAGGTTTTCAGGAGAAATGCACAGTAATTTTTATTTATTTGCAATATTAATAATACTTTTTTAAAATTATGGGTTATGGGAAAGTCTTTATACTGGGCCAAGTTCTGAATCCCTTATACTCAGTATTTACTTAGGCAAATCCCATTAATTTTGTCTGAATAAATAAATAAGTAATGAGTAAAACCAAAGAGGCCTTCAAGATTTAGCCCACTGTACACTTAGAAAGATTGTCTTTATATTGCACATATTATAACCAAACTCATAATGATCTTTATGATGGGTAGTTAAATTGGAAGTATTTGTGCAATCTTAATAAAACACTTTCAGTGACTTGCAACTTCCCCCACCTTTTTGGCTGAAATTTAGCAGTCTTAATTTAGTTGAGGAGGTTGTTGGGTTTTTTTTTTCTTTTTTGCAAGCTTGAGTCAAAATGGGCTAGCTGTTTTTAAAAATGAAGAGTGAAAAACTATGCCTTTTTCATTATTATGAAAAAAGGTGGGTTTTCCCCCAATATCTCAAGCATATCAATAATATATGGCAGAAGCTTGAAATTTCTCAGGGAAAAGTTCCTAGGTTGCAGATGTGCTTCTCAGTGGTATGGTAAAAATCCCGTTGTGATTTGGCAGTTATAAGAGTTCTTAAAAAACATACTTTGCATATGCACAATGGATTTGGTAATGTGATCTGCCAGCATTCTGTCGGTTTTGTGCATGAATACATAGCTGAAGAAAATGTAGGCAGTGCTGTGTCTTTGTATACAGTTAGTGAAGGTGAGTTGGGAAGGAAGCAGGAGACAGGACTCTTTCTGTACAGTACATGTGAATGTGTATGGAAGGCAGCAGGATTCACCGATCTTTTTTTTTTTTACTTATGCTTTGGTTTGGTTTGTTGTTTAATACTCTGTGGCTCACTGACCTATAATGACTTCAAATGTTATTAAAAAAAATTCCCTTTACTACAAACAAACAATTAACTTTTATCAAAATATATTTACCATATAATTCTAATTCAGCAAATAGTTTTTTTTTAAATTGCACTGGGAAAGTATAGACTGTTTGTTGCTTTTCTTTTTAAAAGTGATGTTCCCAGTTAAAACAGGGGACCTATCCTGCCTTACTTAAAATTAGTGGCACAATCAAAGCTTGGTTTAATATTTAATAATACCATTTTCAAACAGTACCTCCACAAGTCTTGGCAAGGTCTTTGTGTCAGCTGCTTTTTTAAAGACCCATGTCTGGCTAAAGTCTCGCTGAGAAATGGCTAATTGTCTGAGGTACCATAAGGCAGCGGTTCTCAACAGGGGGTCTGCAAACCCTTTCAGGGGGTCCACGGGACCCTGCAGCTAAAACCCAGAGCCCCAGCCCCAGCATCTCTCGCGGGGATGAAGCCAGGAGCCGTGGGGTTGAAGCCCTGATTCCTGGTGCTACCCGTGGGGTTGAATCCAGGAGCAGCAGGGCTGAATTCTGGAGCCCTGAGCCCCGGTGCTCCCCATGGGGCAGGAGCCCTGAGCCCATGGACAGAGCTGGGGGGACATGGAGATGTTGCACCACCCCAAACTACAGTGCAAGAGCAGGGCAGTCCTGGGGCACTCCACCCCCACCCTCCACTCCTTTTCTCCCCACCCCCTGGCCAGAAGCCAGAGCTGGGCAGTGCAGGACAGCTGCTGCTCTGGCTGGTGCTATGGAGCAGGCAGCCATGGTGCTCCTTCATCTCCTGCTGCTGCAGGGGGTTGAAGCTGCTCCTCAGCCCCCTTTGCTTATGCAGCTGGTATGAGATGCTTGGGCGGGGGGACCCGGCTCTGTGGCTGGCAGAGCCCTCGGGGAGCATCTACCACAGGGAGAGCCCTCCCAGCACCCTGAGCTACCCCCCCTGCATGTGCAGAGCCCCTAGCTACCCCCGCCTGTACCCTGAGCTACCCCCCTTCCCTCACTCAACCCCTAATTACCCCTCTCCCTGCATCCTGAGCTGTTTTCAAACTTTTTGAGCTGAGCCCCCCACCTATGAGTTATAATTTTTGGTTGTCCACCCCCACCCCACCCCCAACCCAGACAGGTGGGTTGCCTGCTGAGGTGAGTCAGGGGGTGGAGGTAGTGCTCCATCCCCAGACCCTGCTGAGCAGAGCCTGTTTGACGCCTGCTGGCTCCTGCCCACCCAAAATAGAAGTCAAACTACACCTATGCCTGAGGCCCCCACTCCCTCCCTGGCCCAGAGCCCCGAGCCCTATCTTCCCCCCCCTCCCCACGCTGGGCCCTAGAGTTTTTGTAGCATGTTCTGGGGGGGCCTCAGAAAGAAAAAGGTTGAGAACCCCTGCCATAAGGTGTGGTCTATAAACTTGTGTGGAAACGTAATTCTTGGTGTAGCTTTCTTCACAGGGATGGTCTGTGTCCTCTATCCGGTCCTCTTTCTGCTTCTCTTTCACTCTCCAACAATGGAATCCATACATGTGGTTGCCTTTGTTACCAGCCCTGCCATTGCTCTACAGTATATCCTTTGTTCCACTTTCTATTCTTCCCTCTTGGGTGTGATAAGTTGTCAGGGATAGCTTTGCAATTGAAATATTTGTGTTATGGATTTAATGACTATAAGCAAGTTTGTAACGCATGCTAATCCCCTATGCAGAGGAGTAAGGGGGCTGTGTCACAGGTAGCAGTGAAGGAAGGATAGAAGCCTCTGCAGGGTAGGGTGACTAGACGTCCCGATATTATCAGGACCATCACAATGTTAAGGGCTTTGTCTTATATGCATAACTATACTCCCTGAAAAAAAAAGTCCTGATTTTTCACACTTGCTATCTGGTCACCCCACTGTAGGGCCTCTAACCCCTTCTTGTGCAGGGGCAGGACATGAATGGAGCCTTGTCTCTGAGCTGGCCAGGACAATTGAGCTGGTATGGCAATAGAACAAGCTATAGGGCTAGTACAGGTTGTTTTCCTTCCTGCTCCATCTTGAAATAAGGAGGGAATCAGGAACCAAGCGGTGACTCTGAGTCACAATCTAGTTCCTGGCCTAAGGCAATGCAACTTTGTACTGCCTCTTCGTTGGGGCTTATGGCATGCCTCAATTGAACCCCCATAGTATTTTAAAGGCACATTCATGTGTGTATATAGTGCCCAAATGTGCTAGGCCCTTCAGAGAACGTAGAAAAGACATGGTCCCAGTTCTGAAATGCTTATAGTCTAAGCTCGCAGTTGTACAGCATGTGTATGTGCTTAATTTTATTCAGAGGAGTAGTTCTTTTAAAGTCAGTGGGACTATTCACATGGATAAACACTTGTAAAAGGGTTGCAATTAAGATTATGGGGAGGCTTATTCATGTACATACACATCTTCTGGGTTCTACTGCCTTTTAAAAATGAAATTTTGGGAGGTGGAGTAGGGATGGAATATTCTTATTCCATTATTCTTGCACCGGCAGAAGAACTCTTCTATTGACCTAGTGCTGTCTACACCAGGGGTGAGGTTGTCTTAACTATATTGCTCAAGGGTGTGGATTTTTGAGGTAGCTGGGTCGAACTAATTTTTTATGTACACCGTGCCTCATTCTAGAGCCACTGAAGTCTGAACAGCATTTTCCTGTCCTGTATGCAATCCTTGGAGTATTTAGGCAAGTCATTACTAGAGCAACTGTGTAACAGGAGTATTAATTATAAAAAGTTTAAAATCTCTTGAGGAAAAAGCATAATTTTAAAGCAGCTACATTTTAGAAAATTTTAATTTCTGTAGAGTTTTGATATTTAAGTTTACTATGGAAACATTTTCTCTCCCGTATCCATATATCATCATAGTTTTAGACATAGATAGCCTTGGTTTGTGCAGTTCTCAATTAACTTTTCTATATTTTATACTGTGTTAAATAATTTAGTTTTGAAATAGTGGGTAACTCAGAGTTACCCTCCTATCTTACATGAAACCACAATCATAATTTATTAAGTTACATTTCCAGGAAGAAAGAGTTGCATTATTCTTGAGATTGACCCCTATGAGATTTTCTTGGTTTCCATAATATAGTATGTTTAAAAGATATTGAAGGTTGTTTTTATATTGCTCACACACTGCAGCATCAAATAATAATAATAACAACTCTATTAGCCTGCTAAAATTATTCTGAACCACAGGTTACTGTTTTATCACCATAGGCTGAACATTTTTTTCTTTAATACCATGCCATGCTCAGTGCTGCAAAATAAAAAGCCACTATGACTCCTTCTTCTCCTTATCAGATTTCATAACAGTAAATCAGAAGTAGTTGAGTGAACCAGAGCTGAGAGTTTATATAGGCAAAGCCTTTCCATAATAACTGAACAGAAACATATGCTGTAGTGTGAAGTTATATGCTACATTTATAGCACATTAGTAATGTTTTAATCTTATTTATTGATTTTTTCCATAAATGTAAAAGATTAAATATATAGTATATAGATGTAGGAGGGAAGTACAGTGTATATACATAGAACAGAAAATATTTATAATATGACTATGGTAAGGGAAGAAATGGTATTACGTACAATAATAATAATAATAGAGAAGGTGCATTTGGTGCTCCTATTTACCTTTTCTGATGAACAAGAAGGCATTCAACTAAACTGAAGGCAACATATTTAAAACCCAATTAAAGGAAATATTTCTCACAACACATAGTTAACTCAAGGAACTCATGGCCACAAGATAGCTTGAGGACAAATATAAAATATAGATAGATAGAACATCCATGGTTATTTTCAGTAGGATTTTAAAAAAATAATTTAGAAGAGAGAAAACATTGACTGATTGGAGGTAGGAAGAAACTTCTTCAGTAGGTAGTACCTTTCCATCACAAGGTTTCTTGCAGCTTCTTTTGAAGCTGCTGAAAGAGACGAGATTCTGAAATAAATGGACCACTGTGCTGATTGTTTGGGCAATTCCTGTACTTTTATTAAAACAATAAATGTAAAATTATGACAAAATGATATGCTAAGTCAAAGACTACCTGGACACTTAAAATAAGCAGGAGGTAACACTAACCAGATGGTACTAGTGTAATTTAGTCAAACACCCATGCTATAAGCAAATAGACAAATATTTTAAATTTAGATGACCCCCAAATTAATGGTTACCCAAACGAATTTACACTTACAGTTTAAAAAAAAAGTCCTAAATTCTCTAGTCTGACCACCTGCATAACACAGGTCATAGTGTTTCCCTGTATTGACTTGTCCCCCATTGTGCCCCATTTCTCCACACAGATCACCATCCATCCGGGATTTGGGCCATAGTTTTTAGTATTTTCTACCCAATAAGCTTGACTGAACTTGTCTGTTGTGAAAGTAGAAATATATCTTTATTACACTGACACATACACACCCATGCACACTCCTTTAGGTATGTTTACGCTTATCATTTACTAAATCTTTATTTACATTTTCCCCGTGTTATCGTTCCACATATATTTGTCATCTTATTTAGGACAATCAGTATGTACCCAGACAACAATAATTTACCACCTTGGGCAGCTAGGATCTATAGTCAGAATTTTGAAAAATTAGGTACCTGAAGTTAGACGGCTAAATACGTTTTCAGAGGTTCGACTCCAGTTGAAGTCTATAGAAAATGCAAGTGTTCATCATCTCTGAAACTCAGGCCCCACCTCTAGAAAGATTTGGTTCTGTTTGTATTATTGAACAAAAATATCCGTTGTTGGGTCAGACCACTTTTAACACAGATTTACTATAATTTTTTCCTTTTTTAAAAAAGGTTCTTCAGTTAAAATTTACAGCTATTAAAAAATTAACAGTGAATGTCAGTTTAAAAGTAGAGAAGTATTATTTGAAAGCATGTATTTGAATTAATATATTACAATGTATTACTAATTATGTCATATCCCAGGAAGAAGATGGTTTTCAGTCAAAATATTAATTTGAATATTATGTTGGAATGTACTGTATAATAGAGTTTATATTGGAATGCACGTGCCAGCTATTGTTTAGGAAATGGCATTTTTAAAGTTTAAATTAAATAACTGTATCCAACAATGACTTCTGTGTTTTGTTCAAAGCTTACAATCTGCTTTTCTTTTTAATGATGTAGCTTTATGCAGTTGAATTATTTTAATAGTTCAGTATGAAAATAATCAGATTGCAGACTTGAGTTCCTCTTGGAGAGTCTCTCATATGGTTTAATGTCGTACATTTTATTCTGGTTTGTTGTTTTTTCTTCTAGAATATTTCAGGTTAATTTAGTTGTTTAAGTTAAGTGCAAATTTGAGGACCAAACACATGGCTTAGAGAATATCAGCCTTGTTCATCCAATACACAGAATCCTTACTTCTTTGAGTAATTCTGACTCATGTGAGTAGTTGCATTGACTTCAAAGGTTTTTGGACCTTTAACTTAATCTAACCCTTTCTTTAGGAGAAGGGGTTTTTCACGTGAGAAAGGATAACCATCCATCCATCCAAATTGCAGCGCTTTGTTTATATACAGATAGACTGCTGCACATATTAAAGTAATATTGATATGAGCCTCAGGACTTACTGAATTTGAGAGAATAGTGAATCTTGATGTCCAATGAAATAAGAAATCAGTATATGTGTTGTTGCATGATGGAAATTCTCACTGCCTTCATGAGAAATGCCTGGAAATCTTTTCGGTATGACCATGGAAGAGAAATATGAGAGGTTATTCTTTTGAAACTAAAATTCTAAAGAGAGGATTTAAAAAGAGATTCCCAAATAAACCACCCAGCAACCAAACCCTTCTACTTGTCTCATGAAAGGTAAATTTTCACATCTCCCTGCAACCAGTCATAAAGAATAATTTGCACAGGATATAGGGGTGCTGGAAGAATTTTTATTGTGGGAGTACTGAGATCCATTGAACCAAACTGTAAACCCTGTATATAATAGAAACCACTTCAAGCCAGGGGGTGTGGCAGCACCCCCAGTACCTGTAGTTCCAGCAACTATGACATGCTATCTGTTTGGTTAACATTGTTCAAGACCTCAGTATTGTTAAACCTAAGGATGTTAAGAATAGTGCAACTCTTCTGCCAGGTGGTGCCAGCAACAACAAGGGCCGGGTTCAATATCTAGGGGTTCCTTTTCAACAATACAACACAAAACCTGCTCAAGCCCCCACCCAGTGACCTGGGACAATTATACACCACCCCCTGGGTGCCTCTAAGAGGCAATGCTTCCCCTCTCGCAAGCACAGAGTCTGAGTGTAGCAAAAACTTTTAATAAAAGGAAGGAAGTAACTGAGCGTTAATTTGGGAAAACACCGCAACTAGGGCTCATAAACCATGAGCAAAAGACCCAGCCCCAAGTAAGTTGGGCAGTGTCCTTTTCTCCTCAGGTTCAGCAACCCAAAAGTCTGTTTAACGTGCCCATCCCTTCTCTGCACCCTACTCACAGTTGCTGTCTTTGTCCAGTGCAGCCCCAGAGTTCAGAGGTTCATTCACAGAGTTCACCTCCCACCCTGGGTGGAAGGAGGGGGTATGGAGGCCTTACATGATCCGTTGCTCAGGCACTCACTTGTCGCCCCAATAGCCGATTGCCGTGCCTCTCTGTGGGGCCCTGCTGGACTTGCCTTTTCACCAGCCACCTGGCTACTCACCAAGATGTCTTCAAGGCCCCCCACTTAACATAGCTCTCTGTGATTTCAGCTGTTAGTGGTGGAAGCCTCACTGCTGGTGCACACTGGGCAGTCTCTTGCAGTAGAAACACTATACCCAAGTAGGTCTAATACTTAGACCTAGGTATGAGTGATTTCAGTTGTGCAACATGTAACAAGACTCTCAACTGAGTCTAAATTAGTTCTTTTATTATACCGTGGAGAAAGGAAGGGTCAAATTGTGTCTAGGACCCTTAAACAGGGCCCCACCGCAAGGTACAAATACCTGTCTCCACCCTCTCTCCCCACTCATTGGGCTTTGGCACCCATGTCCCCTGCCTAGCGAGTGCTGTTCAGTTGAGGGTGAGTCCCTCCATCGGGGTATGCCAGGTACAGTTCTGCTGCCCTCGGCTCACACAACAAAGAAAACAGACCTTTATTACTCGTGCCCTAATAACAAGGAGACTGGGGACACATAATATATCATGCATTTGTTAGGAAAGATTCTGTGTCCTATTTTGAAATTACTCATCTAGTAATCTCAGTGTTGAGGAGGTCTTTAAAGAATACCTTCAAAAATATAAGGAGTAGAAAAATAGGGCCAATTTAAAAACATGAATCCTTATCTTGAGTAATCCAGCACTCTTTGCCTCTGTTTCATTTTATGAAATTGATTATTTCATCTTAGAAATAATTCCTTTGAACAAAAAAATGTGACATCTGAAAATATAGTCTTATTAACTTTCCAATTCTTAAAGGTTTTGAAGGTTAATATTAGAATCCTAATTTATATCACTTGCACTGTGACTTTGCATTCACTAGTCAGTGTGGAGATAATAGTAGAGAGATGTTTTGAAAATTTGGCCCAGAATGAGATTAACAAAGGTGAAAACATTATTCCAAATGACAACAAACTTAAAAATTTTTGATAGGGATTTTGGAGAAGGATAAGAGGTATGTTCTTGAGTATGATTTGGAGTTGTGAAGATTTTCTTGAGTTTTTCCATTTTTATTGTTGGTTAGCTGAGGTAAATTGTTACTTCTGTCTGATTAATTAAGGCTGCTGATGGGTGGAGTTAGTTGATTTGTATATCCGTAGTATTGCTGCTTGGTGGTTATTGTAGGCCTAATTATCGTCAATGCAGACCTAATTATTATCAGTGCACTCAGAGCTTTTGTACAGATGTTATATTTTTTTAACATCAAATCTAAAGAAATAAATAAAACAAAGTAAAATTGACCCCTGGATTTTAAACTGAAAGGTGAAAGTAATTTCTTTATTACAGCGGAGTACAGTACAATCCACAGTCCATCAACGCCCATTAAAGATTCTGATTCAGATAGATTGCGTCGCAGTTCCGATGGAAAATCACGTGGGCGAGGCAGAAGAAATAATAACCCTTCACCACTGCCTGACTCTGACCTGGAGGTATGTTATATACCCTGTATTTACTACAGACTCTGCTATCTTTACAATTGCTTTGAAGAGAGGGACTTATTTACAGAACAGCAATACAATGACAATATGGCTGGTGCAACATTTATTTTGAAATAAACTCTATTTCAATGGAAATTGGGTTTTCAGTTAAACCCTGTTTTTTAATGAAAAAATCTGCTTTCCCTGGAAATTTTTGGTATTTTTTATCAAAAAAATGAACGGAAACAAAAATGTTTCCCTTGAAACCAAAAATGTTTAATTTTGGATATGTTGCTACAGTGCCCCATGGCACTGTAGTGGCTTCGTGTCTCCATTCTCTTCGATGGGCTGCACTCCTTGTCCAGACTATATCTCCCATGATGCATTGTGGCCGGGGACTCCCAGCATGCACTAACCCCCCTTGGCAGTAAGGAAGATTGTTGTACCTCATGGGAGATATTGTCAGTCCAGGGAGATGAAATATGTTTGTTTTGGTTTTTGAATTTTTGCCAAAAAGTCAAAATGTTCTTGGAAAATTTAGACAAAAACAAAATTTTGGGGGGAAATAACATTTCCAACTAACTCTAAATGGCAAAGACACAATTTACTGTGGGAAAGATTTTTAAAAGCACCTAAGTCCTCTTGAAAGTGGACTTAAACGCCTAAAGTAATAAGTGCTTTAGAAATGTCACCCTTTTGTTTTAGTTTCAGAGGTCATACTGAATAGCAATTTACCGAGGCTGTTTAGTTTGAATACTATACAGAAGAAGATTCAAATCTGATAGGTTTAATTTTCAATTGCTTTATTTAATGTATTTCAGATTTTCCCCACTCTTTTGAATAACATACAGTACTATTCTATTTTTGTTTATTTAATAATAACTGCATTTATATCTTCACAGAATAATTTAGAATAGTAGTAATTGTAGCACAAAACTAGCAGGTTGTTTAACTCCATTCAGGAGCAATTTGTTAGTTTTTCTGAAAATAGTAAGGAAACCATCATATTAATATGTGACCATTTCAGTACAGCTTTCTCATTTGTACACTTATTGATTCAAGTATCAACTTTACAGAGGGACACATTGATTTGGTTCTTTTTTTTTTTACAGAGAGTATTCATTTGGGATTTGGATGAGACAATCATCGTTTTTCATTCCTTGCTTACAGGGTCCTATGCTAACAGATATGGGAGGGTAAGTGTCAAGGAACTAATTTACAATAATGTGCTGCTGCATAGGTGTTTTGTTCTACAGTAAGGACCGGAATGTTAGGGGAATGTCACGAGAGACAAACTAAGGTTGAAGTATAAAGCGGGTGGGTAGAAAGACTAAGATAAAGAGGGTTTTTCTCACCTCCATTTCTTCCTTACCTTCTATAAGAGAAAAATTACGTTATTGGAAGCAATAATTGTGCCACTTAAAGGTTTGATCATAGGGGCTGCTGAGCGTCTGTAGCTCCATTGGCTTCTTTCTGAGGGCTTGTCTTCACTACTGGGGTAAGATGAACTAAGTTACGCTAGTCGACATAGCTTAGGTCGACTTACCCCGGTGTCTTCACTGCGCTGCATCAATGGGAGACGCTCTCCGGTCAACTTACCTTACTCTTCTCAGGGAACTGGGGTACCGCAGTCAACCGGGGAGTTCCCTGCTGTTGATTTAGTGGGTCTTGAGTGAGTGACAAAGGCTCAGCTCCTCTCAGGAAGTGCTCAGTGACTTGTGGGATAAGGTATTGCATTTCCTTTTGGCACACTGATAACGAAATAGTACATTTGAATGCCTCAACTAGGCTATAAATGAGGAAAATTATTTTTGGGTCCGGGACAGATTAGTGTAATATATTTGTCCACGCTCTAATTTTTCATTTGAATGTTAATTGTTAATTTTTAAGTGTCTGCTTGTGAGTTTAGCCTTGCTGCTGTTCATGTCCTAAAAAGTATAGGAGGAGTTTTGAATGTTATTTTGGAATAGTGGTTTCACAATCATTTGCCACAAGAGAAATGCAGTTATAAAGTGAATGAAAACAGTTTATGAATTGATGTGTCCAAGGAAAATGTTTCACAATTCTCTGTGTTTTTATGAAACAAAATGACTTGCAATTGAAGTCTGATTTGTTTCTTGTTTGATTTAAATCTGTCTTGTTACAAGCCAGATTGATTATATTGTCTATTTTTTAAAAAATCACATTAATTGCTTGTGTATTGTTAGGGAATTCTCATTTTTGACTTTGAAATAATTTTGGAAATAATAAGTGAATGAATAGATAGTCTAGTAGCTTGCAGCGTACTGCACACAGGTTACAATCCATTTTATATGGTTTTTAAAACCAAAAGATGACCATCTTGGAATCCATTGCTACTGAAATGAAGCTCTTTTGAGTTATAATTCTGCATCAGTTTTTCGTCTTTGAGTGCTTGCTCATGTCCATTCCGTGCTAGGTGTGTGTGTGCCATGGGCACTGTTGCCAGAGATTTTTCCCTTAGTGGTATCTGTAGACTCTATTCTAAGGTTCATGAGCCGACCCCATCCACTATGGGACTTAAACCTGGTCTTGTCAAGGCTCATGGGCCCCCCTTCGGGCCATTAGCATTGTGCTCCCTACTGCTTCTCTCCTGGAAGGTTGCCTTCCTGGTGTCTATCACCTCGGCCAGAAGGGTTTCTGAGATCAAAGCCCTTACATCGGAACCTCCTTACACGGTGTTCTTCAAGAACAAAGTCCACCTGCCCCCCCATCTGGCCTTTCTACCAAAGGTGGTGTCACAATTCCACACAACCAGATCATTTTTCTACCTGTCGTCTTCCCAAAGTCTCAAAAGCCGGCTGAGGAACATCAGTTTCATACATTGGATGTTAGGCAGGCCCTCGCCTTTTATATTGAGAGAACTACGCCCTTCCACAAATCCACGCAACTCATTGTAGCAATAGTGGAAAAGATGAGAGGGCTACCTCTATTATCCCCAAGAAACTTGTTCTGGATGACCTCCTGTATTTAGGCTTGCTACAAGCAGGCGAATGTCCCAACTCCGGCCATTGTAACCACTCATTCCACAAGAGCCCAGGCTTCATCAGCAGCATTCCTTATGCAGGTACCAGTCCAGGATATCTGCAGAGCTGCAACCTGATCACTGATTCATACCTTAGCGTTCCACTAAGGCATCGCCCAACAGGGCCAAGACGATGCCAGTTTTGGGAGAGCAGTGTTGCAGTCAGCACATCCAAGAACTCCGAGCCTACCTCTGGGCTACTGCTTGTGAGTCTCCTAGCATTGAATGGACATGAGCAAACACTCCAGAGAAGAAAAATGAAGAATGGGTTACTAACCTTTTGTAACTGTTTTTCTTTGAGATGTGTTGTTCATCTCTATTCCATGACTTTACCCTCCTACCCCTCTGTCGAAGTTACCGTCAAGAAGGAAATGAGAGGGTGCGGGGCTGGTGGCGACCCTTATACCAGCGCATAGGTGCACAACCACACAGGGCACTAGAGCCAGTCCTATGGATAGCACTAAGATAAAAATCTCCGGCAGCTGTGCACACATTGTGCCCACCCCTAGCATGGATAGGACATGAGCAACGCATCTCGAAGAACAATTAGTAATTGGGTGTTTTTTATTACGTGAAAAGGTTAGCACAGGACTGTCAAACATTACTTTCCAGTTTACTCTTCTGTAAACTGGTTTACTATGTTAATAAATCCTCATTTTCGCTAAATTATAAGTAAAGTTGGCTGATGTATTCTAAGAGATGTAAAATTGTTCTTAACCATTGGAATCTACTTGTTCATTAGTCACAGTGAGTAACACACATTCAGAAAAATAGTCTTGTTCACTACAAGTGCTACTCAACATGAGCAATGTTTATATAATCAACCCCTATATTTTCATGGCTGGATTTTCAGTCTGATGCCTAAATTTTATCAAAATATTTGTTTGATTTCACATGCCAATCTTGTATTTAGGGGTCAGCCCAAAATGATTGAACCCTAAATTCTTCTGACAAAAACTATGGGTTAATAATTTCATAATGAATTATGATGTTTGATTCCTAACATATTACTTTGTAGCAATTTGACATAAACACATACTGTAGGTAGCTAAATATGCAAGTTAAAAGGAGATGAGTGACACATGATAGCACTTCAGTCACTATAGAAACCAGTTACTTGAGACGTAGCTTAGTTGGACTGCTGATGCATATGTGACAGAATGTGTCTACCATTCAGTAAATACACACTGGGTCTCATTGGAACATTGCAGAATTAGGCCATGTTAAAACAACATGCATTACAACAAGTTTAGAGTTTATTCCACCTTTTTTGGACATTACCTGTGGGAACAAAGCATGTTTGATATTAGAAGAACTGTTTTAACAAAAGTAATGGGAAGAAGATGGTGATTCGAGGTAGCCTTTGCTTTGGAAGAGAATATTGGAACATCTTAGAATAAGCAGGATGTGTACATGGCTTGCAGTTTCCAGCTTTCATAGTAAAATGTGAACTTTAGATTCATGTGTGCTTTGTTATGTTACATGAGCCCCACAAGTTCTTTACATTTTAAACTGTTATAGGAAAAATATTAATAGATTTCTATGGTCTTTGGATCACATCCAAAGTGCTGTCAAACACACAACGGTGAACAAACTGGGAAAAATACTTTTCCCTCTTGTATAGCAATCTTAGGGGCTTCTTGTGACAGTAATAGGTACACAGTTTTTAGATAGAAATCTGATTTTCTCAGTTGATGGTGTCTTAAAGTTTTCTGAAGTCAGTATTACCAGTCCCCAACTGTAAAAAAACAACATAATCCAGGCCCCAAAATAATGAGATTTTAATGTTTGTTTGTTTGTTTGTTTGCTTTCTGTTTTTTAAGCCTTGAGGCTTCCCATTCTCAAGCTTTTATCCACAACCAGGAGAGTTAGAAACTTAATTTTTAATGGAATCCGAGGTTCTCACATAACCAATTAACTGGAGGAGCTGGATATTAAGGAAAGCATTAAATATAGTGAGAAATGGCAACACTCTAACCTGTCGCTGAGTAGATATTATCTGTTCAGCAACAGTTCCTCTATTCTTTTTCTTGGTATCTACCTCTCTCCTACTATTGTTCTTCTGGTTTTTGCTCCCCTTTTCCATTTGCTCTCCCTTCATCTTTTCCATTTACGTCACCTTCTCCATTTATTTTTTTTTCACCTCTGTCCCTCAGATGTTATTTATGAGCAAAATTATAAACGTGCCATAGTGTTAGTGTTTAATCTGGAAGACTGGGATATTTTTCTTCCCAATTGAAATAAATGAAATGAGTATAATAATACAAATGTACTAACTAAAAAAATATTCTTGGAATTATGTTGTAATTTGCTCTTAGGCAAAAACTAAGTGTAAAAGAGAAAGGGAGATCTGTCTGCCCCAACGCTTGTGGTTAACAGTTATTTTAATTGACATTAGAGCTGCTAGCATCCACATAAACCTGATGTTTTGAGCCATCTGCCTACTGAACAGGTCCTGGAAGCTGGGAAGAAGTCTATGCCCCATGTATAGTATTGATAACTTGAAACAGGTGGATATACAGTTGGAATGGCACTGGAAATGCTGTGGCCCTTATGTATTTCCATTTTCTGTGAAAACTTTTACATTAAATACTTTAAGGAGATAGGTTTCAGAGTAGCAGCCGTGTTAGTCTGTATTCGCAGAAAGAAAAGGAGTACTTGTGGCACCTTAGAGACTAACAAATTTATTTGAGCATAAGCTTTCGTGAGCTACAGCTCACTACATTCCACTGAATGCATCCAATGAAGTGAGCTGTAGCTCACGAAAGCTTATGCTCAAATAAATTTGTTAGTCTCTAAGGTGCCACAAGTACTCCTTTTCTTTTTAAGGAGATAGTCTTTTACAAATAAGATATTTGGGGGGAGGGGTGTTATATATTTTAAAGATTTAAGAAAAATAAAAATCTTGTTTCACTTAAGCCTTCAATTGTTACCAGTCAGCCTAGTAGAAAATAAGCAAAGCTGTGTACTCAGTGATCTTTCCTGTTTTTCGGCTTCTTATTTTTCCCCCTGACAAAGGCATCAAATGGGTCAAAATTGCAAATGACATATATACGTTTGTGGCTCTAATGCCAGTGTTCAAAAGAAAAGGCTTGTTTAACAGATTCAACAGTGGTATTTCTTCATTCAGCTAAGTGGTTTTTCTCTGAGATTTGCACCTGATTTTGGCCATTCCTTAAAAGGTGCTCACATTGAACTGCAAATCCTAATAAATGCGAACAGATTGTTAGCCTCTTTTCATTGTGTTGCATCTCGCAGTAATTGCCTTGCAATTAATAGCTTTAAATTCCAAAAGAGGGCTCGGCATCTTATATTATTCTGGCCTTATCTAGCTTTGTCATCTTTAGGTTTTAGTCACCATTGTAACTAGTCAAAGTCCACACTGCACTGCTGTAAATCACCCTGAGTTGACACACATGTCCTGTTTTTTTATTGGTGCAGTTACACCAATGCAGCTACATTGGTGGCTAAAACCCTAATATAGAGAAGTCCTTACAGCCCACTAAATGTGGTATCCAAGGCAGCAGTCTAAGTATAGTTTTAGGCACAACCAACCTTTCTAATAAGTACTTGGTGTTAAATCAAAGATTTACGTTTTATTTTAAAAGTAACCTGTTTTGCTTCATGTCTTGCATTTATGGGATTTGATCTGACATTTTTCAGGAAACGTCATTGATCTTGTTTTTCTTTTCTTTTTTCTAACTAAATTAATAATGTAGCTTGAGAGAAAACCCCACTCTTTTGTGTGTAATAGTTTAAAATAACATTTGAGCTAAATGGTCCACATCATGCAATTTAAAAATATACCTATTCTGACTCAAGTGTGTGTTTTTAAAAATTTGTTAAAATTAATCATTCATTCAACTTTTCTTTACAATATTCTTTAGACACACTTTTTTTTTTTTTTTAAGGTTTGCTTGTGACATTGTAACAACTATGGAGAGCCAGTATCTCTCATTGTTTTCCCAAATAACATGCAAGGTCGCGAATGGACATGACCATAACATTTGAATGGGACTGGTTCAGTTATCTGGTGGTGGTGGTGTTTTATTATTGAAGTGCCAAAGTGGTGCTTGGTGTTAGTGATCTGCACTGTCATGTGGGAGTCCAGTGTCAGATGCATAGTTCCAATTTCCAGCTCCCTAGGTTGGCAGGAGTTCTGTGGGGTTAGCACAGACAGCCCTTAGAAGGACGGAGTGTTTTACTTCATTGAACAGCAATCCCTGCAACTGAAATAAGAAATGATACTGATGAACTATAAAGGATGCTGAGATTATAACTGTCCACAAAGATGGAAAGTGTGGTGAGAAGGAAAGCCATCCTTAGGACTTCAGTGAGAATATAGAACCTTCCTAACTCCTTACATGTACACACTTCCCTTCCAGGAAAATAAAATAAAACTTAGTTCTGTGAAACTACCAGCATTACAAAAGAGGGAAAACAGTAGTCTGATTCATACTTTAAAGCAAGCAGATGAATCTTCACATTTGCATTACAAATCAAAATGTTCTCTTCTGAAATTTTTGTTGATGTAAAATATAAATACAAGACGACTGATTTGTAAGGGCAAAGTGCTTAATATTGCCAACAAACTGGCATGATGCAGTTGTAGCAATACACTAAAATCCTTTTTTATAGGGGTTCAGAAGTATTTATTTAAGTTAGAAAAATGTTCACTTTTTATTGTGTGTCAACTTGTTAGTGAATTGTATAAAAAAAATTGTGTTAGAGCTTCATTATTTGGACATCTGCATGTCTAAATGCTTCTTTGCAAAATATTCTTTCAGATTAGCTTTGATTTCATTTTTTGTTCTCTGGAAATGTCAGACTAAGCTGCCAAGTTAAAAAATCTTTTTTTCAACTGTTTTCTGCCAATAATGCATAGTGTCTTGTGACAGACAGATGTTTGGGAATTTCAGAAATCTTGTTGAAAAACCTATTAATTTGATTGATATAGGAAAAAACTGGAGGCTAAACCTATTAAAGTTCCCATTTTGAGTTGTCATCAGTTGTAGAATCTAAGCAGATTTAAGAAAAAAGAGAACTGTTCCTGCAATCCTGTTTTTATTATAAAATGTAATTCCTGATGAACTAATGTTTGGTTAATTGATTGTGTCTTGAAGCATTATAACATACTTTTTAAGGTTCTATTTTTTATGCTCTTGGATATTCTTGAGAAAGCATTTTAAGTGAGGGAATGTACATCAAATAAATATATTAGACTCTTATTTCAATTTTCAGATAGAAAATATATAAAACACATAAAAATCAAAACAGGACAAACATCTGTAATGCATTTGGTAACCACAATGCTGAATACACTTCTTGAGTTTATTAACTCAGTAAGGAGTAAGTTGTTATGGTAATTTCTGCAGAGAATTTAGTGTGTTCTGTATTAATAACAAACAATAGATTTGTTCATTCTGCATGGGTGGGCTATATTTAAAGAATAATTAAAGTACAGTTTTGCAGAGAATTAAGGAGTAATTTTATATGTTTTTGCTGTTTGTAAATTAAACATTAATGGTGATTTATTAAAGGCAATAGTTAGGCTAATTACCAAATCCTCTTACTCAAGAGAGTTTGCTTGTGTGAGGACTGTATTATTGAGCCCATGGTTGTTCTAAATCTGTGCACAGTCATTAAATCTTGGAGGGCAGGGGAGGTCCCAATCCTGCAATTGAAACAACATCAGTGGACCCCTTATATCTGTTCAGAGCTCCATTGAAGGCAGTGAAGCTCTGCATGGGTGAAGGGGTTTGCCCAGTTGCAGAATCGGGGTTTTCATTATTAACAGGTTTAAAGTGTCCTTTAAAATGTTGACATATTTAGATACTATGGTGCAAGGTTTTAGGGGAGTCCAACTTCAGCTATGTAGGCGGACCCATCAGTTGACATATTCAGTATTCTCTGCTTCTGAGAAATATTTATTCTAGCATATGGAGTATGCATGTTACTGACTATATTTTGTCATTTCTTCTTTGAGGATCCACCTACTTCAGTTTCACTTGGACTACGAATGGAGGAGATGATTTTCAATTTGGCAGACACACACCTGTTCTTTAATGATTTAGAAGTAAGTACTGACGGTTTATTTACACTGAGCAGTTATTTAACATTTGTTTCATATTGCATGATAGCAAATAGCTCGAAAGTCTGGTTTGGTATAACAACTTTCAAATGCAAATGCTAGAGTACATATATTTTTAAAATCTCCAACAGTTTTTGTTACCCCCGAAATACAGTGCTTTTATTTAATGTAAACACCAGTTTTGAGCCATCAGAGGTGCAATTTTAGATTATTCAACTATTGTATATATGATCATGATAGACCAGCTTTAGAAGTAGATACACCAAAACCATCTATAAACATTAGAATTCAATAGTCTGTACAGGCCATTAAATATTAAACTTCAGCTTCTATAAACAGTTAATAGCTGGGTGCAGATTTCTCAGTTACATCCCACTGTGAGGAAATATTACCCGAGAACCCAAGGGAAATCATTAATGTTGTATATGCTGTCAATCTCAGAGGCTTATTACAGTGGGTCTTCTGCCTTCCGCAGTGGCAGGTACAATTTGTTACATACTAGGATTTCTTTGTTAGTTATGCCTCTCTTGTGTGGCATGCTGTGAGTACTTGGTGTCAGCATGCAAAGGGCTTTCTCAGCCTCTGTGGGCTATGGATTTGGGATTCTTGTGAGATCATTCTAAAAACCGTCTGGATTGCTGAAAGCGACTGTCACCATGATATGTGGCTGTGTTCATCTTAAAACAGAAAAAGTGATTTCTGTTCATATTTTCATAGCAAGAAAATATGAAAATAGTCAGATTTGTTTCCCATCATCATAAAGACAGCCGTTTATTTAAAATCCCACTGTTAAGCAAGCTTGTGGTTGGACTGCCAGTGGGCATTAATCATCAGGTGGTTGTTTTGCTAGATTTTAGGAATGTGTGTTATTCCAGACAGGCAAAAGAATCTTAAAAGATTCAAATGCAACTTCTGCTGATCAAAGTTAATTGGCATCAATTGGCCTTTAAATATTTCCTGATGTTTCCCTTTTCAAAATCAACAAAATACACCTTATTTAGTAGATGAGCTAAAATCATTTGAAAAATGCCAGTGTGTGACAGATCTTAAATGTGGTTTGTACAACATCTGTCCCTTGTTTTGATTTCATTTCATCTGAGAAGAAACTCCTCACAGATGAATTGGCAACTTACAGTATAATAAAATTATTTAAATGTGCTTTATTTTTTCTTCCATTCCTTTGTGAACTATGTATTTTTACACTTACGTTTTGAATACAAGAAAGCTTATATTTTAGTGTGTTTTCTTTCGTTAAGGAAGCTGAATATAAAGACATTATTGGTTTTGATACAAAAAATGCCATTTGTGAATGACATGTGTAGAACTGATTTTTCAGACTTTAGAAGACCATAACAAGACAAGCGACTTACTTTCCAAATCTGTTTCTGATCTACAATTACATTTCATTTTATCCAGAGCAGCAAAAGATAGTAGTATCAAATCTTACCAGTGTGCTTAATAAAGTTTGTAGTGTTTTCATTTGCTTTGCACAACCAAATGTGAGTATTGTAGCCATCCCTTGATACTTAAATGTAAGTGCCATTGGCATGAATAGGAGTTAATCACATACATCCTGGGGATAATTGGCATGTTACAGCCTTAACGTTACAAAATAGTGTCTTTTAATCATTCATTAACCCTTGAAGCAGACTGTACTTTTGTAGAAAGAACGGCCCACATTCTCAGCCAAGGCCAAGAACCTCACAGAGCAGCTTGGCCACCTTTACATTCTCCCAATACTGTGCCAATTGTCTGGTGTTCCCAGCATATGCCAGAGCAATCCAAATGCAGAAGGATTCTTAAATATAAACGTACACGGTTCATATTGGGTGGTGTTTAAATACTTAGGGCCAGATTCTACCCTGGGTTCATGGGTGCTCTGAAAAGAAGGAAACAAGGTGTTGGCAGCCCCTCCTTGCCCGCCATTGGCAGCATTGCAGCTTTTAAATCAGGGGCTGTCCATTAGTCAGTTGGCACAGTGCTTAGGACACTGGGCTCCAGGCTCTCCATTCCAGAGAGCATTGGCTGTGAAGGCTGGAGGAGGAAATTTCTACTGCACCTACTAGTGCTCCACAGTCCTGGTAAAGCGTGGTGTGACTCTGTCGTCCAGCATATTGTGCACACTGAAGCATATATGCTCATCAGGGATGTAGATTATTAGTATGTGTTACCTCTGCTGGAATAGGGTGAGGGTTATAGTAGTTTTTTTCAGTTGAGTCGTCGTTTGAGGCGTGAAAACTTAACTGCTGATTACTTGGTTTCACAACATATAGTTGGTTATTTTAACTCAGGTGTTCTTGGGAGGTAATGTACTCCCAAATGCATACCCATGCATACACATGCCCATAACCTTAACTCCTTTTAACAAAGATTTGATCTGGGGATATCCCAGTTTTTTTAATAGTCATAACATGAGACTGAGGTGAACAGGGTGCCGGGGGAGCCATTTTCCCCTCCCCGGCCTTCTGAGGTCTGCAGGGGCAAAGCCTCACTCTTGTATATCTTCTAAGATCCAAAGGAGTAGAGACCATCTCCTGCAGCCCTCAGAAACTACACAGAAGGGAGGATACCCTCTTGTGGACCATAAGATATGTGCAGAGAAGTGTGGAAGGAGAGGACAAGAGGGTTGTGGGGGACAGCACATCCGGACATTTCCTTCACCCCGTAGATCTACTGATAGACACGTTAGGAGAAAATTCTGTTTAATTACAATACTCCCTAACGATCACTTTAAAAAGAGGCTAGGGTTGAGATTTTCAGAAGCAACTGAGAGATGTAGACAACTTCCATTGGGAAGCCCTGGTTGGCTTTGAATATTTCAACCTAGAATTTTTTTTTTTCAGTGGCAGTGTAAATATCCAGCAGTCATTTCATGGTCTATTTTAAGTTCGTTGGAGCCATTAAGACATCCTGATAATAAAATTTAGTAACTTTCAAATCTACAGTTTATTCAACTAATTCTTGGTTCTGTGCACTTTGAGCACAGCTATATGAGCCTAAAAAGCAATTTTAACCTATCTTGTTTTTGTTCATTTTGTTTTGTTACAAGGTGTTTTTAAAAAAATTAACTTTTTGAACTCTGGTGACAGTCTCAGGCTTTAGAATGTGATAGCTTATTAATCTTATGTTGTTTAAATCAAACTTGGTAAAAAATAATTCTGCCCTGCCACTGGCCCAATTTATTAGCTTAGAAGCCAATATTGCTGTATTTGTGGCTTTTAGGAGAATCAAAATTGGGTTTATAATGGAAGTGTAGTTGCAACCTTATAGAATTTTTTAATTGTAATAAAAGTAATAGAATGGTGGGTTTCACTTTTTGTTGTTTTTATTAGAGTAATAAAACTAATATAAGATATAATTGTAAATCTTGAAGGATCACTCTCAGATTCTTATATGGTACGTTAAATGAGCTTTATAAGTATTTTAATATACTAAAAGAGAGGTGTAAATATTTGCAAATGTATTGTTAAAGTACGTACAGTAGACTTGGCAGATGTATTGGTTGAAATATCATTTTTTAAATTAGATTATGAAACCATAATATATACATAGATCAAACAGAAGTAGAAACTAAGGACCATATGTTCAACACATAGTCTTCTAAGGGGACATCTACACAGCAAAAAATCCCCTATGGCAGCGAGTCTCAGAGCCCAGGTCAATTGACTTGGGTTTACACTGTGAGACTAAAAATAGACATGTAGACATTAGTGCTGGGCTCATGTAGGTGTTTGGGCTTGGGCTGGAGCCTAGGCTCTGAGACCTTTCTCCCTTGCTGGGTCTCAGACCCCTGTCTCTAGCCTGAGCACAAATGTCTACATGGCTATTTTTAGCCCCATAGAGCAAGCCCTGGGAACAAGTCAGTTGATCCAGGCTCTGAGACAGGTTTTGTTGTGTTTTGTTTTTGTTTTTTGCTCTGTAGATATACCCTGAATCTATGTTTAGGCACCTAAATAAGTGGCCTCATTTTGAAGAGTGAGCATCAGTGAGAGTTAGTGCCCAAGTGCCCAGGCTTAGAAGACATCATTATGTAATGGGGGAACTATAAGTATTGGCATAATGTTCTCAAGAGAACCACAATTATCTCACCAGACAAGAATGATGTAGTAATGCCTGAATTCATGCTCCAATTAGCAATATGTTGTGGTATGGGACATAAAGTATTATGTTTTAATCCCTTCTTTTACACGTTTTTAGCATTTTAGAGACTATGCTACAAGCATTTTTAAGGAAGTTAGCCACTTGATGACTAGATTAAAATGTGATATCCACCCATCACAACTTCTAACATTTGTCCTGCTGACTCCCTTTAAAAATCAGTTCTTTTATTTCTTTGGTAAATTACATGACCTTTATAATTAGGTACATTGTAGAAAGAACTATTGGTTACTTCTATTTTTGATACTTAAAATAGTGATTAAGACTAAGGTTTGCAAGGTATTAAACAAGATTTCATTGGTCCTAGTATCTTAAAAAGTATAGATATAACTTCATCTCTGAAGCTGTAGGTGTTACTTTATATATTAGTTGACCAAGATCATAAATCTTTTTTTAGAAACCTTAGCTTTATGAAATCTTTCCTGATAATTTTTATGAAAGAGATACTTTTCTCTTTAGTTTAACAGAAAATGAAAATTTTCTTAGAAGAAATAAAGAGCCAATAAACTAATTATTCAATTCAGTTCATTGGGGTTATGTTTGTCTGAGCTTTTTGTTTTCTGTTTGTTTTGGTTCTGGCTTTTTCTTTTGTTTCGTCCCTTTTTATTATTAAATTATTAATTTAATTTTGACACATCAGAGAATGATATACACGAAGATACAGAAATGACTGGCAATTGGTTTTCTTCCACTAGTGAAAGACACATAATCTGTACTCAGAGATGCATAATTCGTTTCTTGCTTCTCTGTTTGTGAATCTGAGGAATGTCCTGTATATTATTTTACAAAACTGTCTCCATGTGCAGTCTGATTAAATGTATATGGAA